ATTGTGCAAATATCTTTATTGAAGAGAGTGAGCTATTTATCCCTGTTTGTTTCATTGTATAGGTACTTCGCCTTCTAGTCAACGTGTATCAAAAGCTGCCCTCCCCAGATTACTTGAGCATTTGTCAGTGTCTCATGTTCTTAGATGAACCTGAAGGTGTTGCAAGCATATTGGAAAAGCTTTTGCGCTCTGAAAACAAGGATGATGCACTCTTGGCATTTCAAATAGCCTTTGATCTCATAGAGAATGAACATCAAGCTTTTCTCTTAAGTGTGAGAAAACGCCTTTCCCCTCCCAAGCCTCAGCCTTCAGAATCTCCGCAGCCAGAATCCAGTGAAGCTGCTCCAAATGAAAATTCTGCTCAAGAGGATGTTCAAATGACAGATGGAGGTCCTGCTTCTAATGTGAATGTGCTCGAAGATCCGAATGAAGTGATGTATTCTGAGAGGCTGACAAAAATTAAAGGAATTTTGTCTGGAGAGACATCAATTCAGTTGACTCTACAATTTTTGTACAGTCATAACAAGTGAGGCCGTTATTTTCTTCCCATATTGTTGTTTCATTAATTCATAAGTAACTTTTTGTTTCTGCTGGAAATAAGTCATTTAGAAAGTGCTTTAACTGTTTTCTGTCATTTGCATATAGGTCCGATCTTCTTATTCTGAAGACAATAAAGCAGTCTGTTGAGATAAGAAATAGTGTATGCCATAGTGCAACCATTTACGCTAATGCAATTATGCATGCTGGAACAACTGTGGACACGTTTCTTAGGGAGAATCTGGTAAAGCAGATAACTTAATTTGTTGTTTGACCACCTTTTGCATTGGCATATTTCTTTGTTGTGAATATTGACAACTTAGGTTTACATTGTCAGGACTGGTTAAGCAGAGCCACAAATTGGGCAAAATTCAGTGCAACAGCAGGGTTAGGTGTTATTCACAGAGGCCACTTGCAGCAGGGAAGATCGCTGATGGCACCTTACTTGCCTCAAGGTGGGGCTGGTGGTGGTGGCAGTCCGTACTCAGAAGGTGGTGCTTTGTATGCTTTGGGTCTCATTCATGCCAACCATGGCGAAGGCATCAAACAATTTCTTCGTGATAGCCTACGCAGTACTAATGTTGAGGCGTGTACTTTGTAAACCTGCTATCGCATTTTTTTGGGCATACAAGTTTATTGCCATATTTTTCTAATGGGATCTTTTGATACAGGTTATTCAACATGGTGCATGCTTAGGTCTTGGCTTAGCAGCCTTAGGAACTGCTGATGAAGAGATCTATGATGACTTTAAAGGTGTGCTCTATACTGACAGTGCTGTAGCGGGCGAAGCTGCTGGGATCAGTGTGGGTTTGCTTATGGTTGGAACTGCAAGTGAGAAGGCTAGTGAGATGCTTGTTTATGCACATGAGACACAACATGAAAAGATCATCAGGTATAGACTTCATTATATATTTTTATATTTGGATTAAAGATAGTATTTGTCGGAGAAAAGCAAGATTTTCTTGTCATCTGTGGTGGGAATGATACTCTTTTCCTAGGGTTTTTGCTAACGGTGTAGTATGTTACAGGGGGTTAGCTTTGGGAATTGCCCTGACGGTATACGGAAGAGAAGAAGAAGCAGACACTTTAATTGAGCAGATGACAAGGGATCAAGATCCCATACTACGTTATGGTGGTATGTATGCATTGGCACTGGCCTACAGTGGGACAGCAAACAACAAGGCCATTCGACAGCTGCTGCATTTTGCTGTGTCTGATGTGAGTGATGATGTCAGGAGAACTGCTGTTCTAGCACTTGGGTTTGTCTTGTACTCCGAGCCAGAGCAGGTTGGTACTTTCTTTTTGTCCATTGCTATGCTCTCAGTCTCAGTATTCCATTTGCTGTTGTTTCTTCCTATTTGATGTTGCTTGCTGCTTTTTTTTTTCCTGTTCCCTTATAATGCCTTTAAATCTCCAAAATTGAACTGGAAAACTGCAGACACCAAGAATTGTCTCCCTGCTATCTGAGTCTTACAACCCGCATGTTCGATATGGTGCTGCTCTTGCAGTAGGCATTTCCTGTGCTGGTACTGGCTTGAGTGAGGCCATATCTTTGCTAGAGCCTCTGACTTTAGATGTTGTTGATTTTGTGCGCCAAGGTGCTCTCATCGCTATGGCTATGGTCATGGTCCAGATTAGTGAAGCCAGTGATTCTCGTGTAGGAGCTTTCAGGTATCGTCATCGTATTTGCAAAATTTACCATCTCTCTCTCTTTCTTTCTCTCTCTGTCTCTGTGTGTCTACCTCTGTATAAACACACAAATAGAGCCCTTATTAATCTATTTTCATGAGTCGAAAAGGATTGCATGCGAGACAAACCCCTCAATTTAATCCAATGATCTTAACCGTCTATATGTTAGGTTCCTATTCAAGGAGACCAATAACAAGACAAGCATAGTCGGAAGTTGGAGAAAATTATCCTTTTTCTTCAATAATGTTTGGAATTTACAAAAACTTGTCAACTTATTTTATTACTTGGATCTCTTGTTTTTCGAATATAGGCGGCAATTGGAGAAAATTATCCTTGATAAGCATGAAGACACCATCAGCAAAATGGGAGCAATCTTGGCCTCTGGAATTCTTGACGCTGGTGGAAGGAATGTGACCATAAGATTGCTTTCTAAAACAAAACATGATAAGGTCACTGCAGTTGTCGGCCTTGCTGTTTTCAGCCAGTTTTGGTATTGGTATCCCCTTATTTATTTCATAAGCTTGGCATTCTCACCAACAGCTTTGATAGGACTAAACTCTGACCTGAAAGTTCCGAAGTTTGAGTTCCTGTCACATGCAAAACCTTCACTGTTTGAATATCCGAAACCAACCACTGTGCCAACTGCTGCATCAGCTGTTAAACTCCCCACGGCTGTCTTGTCAACATCAGCTAAGGCCACGAAAGCCAGGGCCAAGAAAGAAGCAGATCAGAAGGCAAATGCTGAAAAGTTAACTGGGGCAGAGGCTTCATCTGCTAGTGCAAATACTGGGAAAGGAAAACCATCAAGTGAGAAGGATGGGGATTCAATGCAGGTAAGTCCTGTCCCACCCCTTCCCCCATTCACTTTTGCATTTGCCCAAAAAAAATTTAAGCTCAATGTTTATGTTTTTTTTATTCTTATTCTTAAAAATAGTTTCTTTTAGTTTTATGACATACTACTGGTTTAAACTGTTCCCTAATTATTATCAGGTTCTCTGATTCCATGTACTTTTATCATCTTTAGTTTAGGACATCATAAGCGGTCTTAATTCAAATCCCCCCTTCCTTTTTGCAGGTTGATGGCCCAACTGAAAAGAAATCAGAGCCTGAGCCCTCTTTTGAGATTTTGACCAACCCGGCTAGGGTGGTTCCTTCTCAGGAGAAATTTATCAAATTTCTGGAAGAAAGTAGATATGTGCCCATTAAGTTGGCACCTTCAGGCTTTGTGCTCTTGAGAGACTTGCGGCCAACTGAACCCGAGGTGCTTTCACTTACGGACACTCCCTCTTCTACAGTGTCACCAGCTGGTGGATCAGCAACAGGACAGCAGGGTTCTGCATCAACCATGGCAGTTGATGAGGAACCTCAGCCTCCTCAGCCCTTTGAATACACTCCTAATCAATGAACGAGGCAGAAGATGTATTCTACAGTGTTCAGTAAGATTTTTCCCTTTCTGTACAGTGAGGAAACATTAGATTTGGCACTTTCCCTTTCCTAATCTTATTTCTTTTTCTTGCTAGTCAGAATGACGCTATAAATATGCCGTTGATTTGTTGGCTTGCTTGCTTTACTAGTTAAAATGTTAAATTTTCCCGTCTACAATGTAGTCATGATTATTAGTAACTATCATGTATGGTGTAAAAATGGATGGATCTATTACGTTTTGGGTTGATTACAAATAGAGATAACATGTCCTTACGTGTGGTAGTTGCATATTACCACATCGATATAATGAGACTATTTGTTACAGTAATTGTGCTATTTGAGAGCATTTCCCTTTTTCTTGGTCGCGTTAAGTCCTAATTGCGCTGAATGTTTCATGCAAATGGTTGGGCACCGTAAAGCCGACTCACCCGTTCTTTAGGTATGTATCTGAACACCACTTCACAATTGCTCATATTGTGTTGTGTATGAAATTCATCTAAATTATAAAATGTTGTAATAATTAATTTAACTCCAAACTCGACGTTAAATACTCTGAATACCGTACAGATACACCTAATAAATTTTCGTATTGTAACTGGTAGGTGTGTGAACGAAAACTTAAATACTTCTTTAAAACATATTCATTTTGTCAGAGTAATTGGCTGTGTAATTCTTTATCCAGTAACTTGAATTTTGTTTGTTTGTTATATAAGCAGTATTGAGGAGAGGGGAATCGAACTTAAAACTTCGGGTATAAGGGTAAATGCTCTTAATCACTTAAGTTATAGACCTTTCCTTTGGTAACTTAATTTGAAGGGATTGTAATCCGAAGTATTGACTACCCATTAAGGTCATACTTCAAATATCTCCATCTCCTTAATCATGTGTAAATTTATTTTCCTTCTAGTTTGTGGTTTTGTATAAATATAAATGGACTAGTATAGTAATACGAAGTATGGAAGATTACAAAGTGAACCTCAACAAAGAGAAGCATCAAATGGTAATATAGGTTTTGTGTCATTGTATTTCATCATGTGCTAAGTCATGTGCTAAGTCACGTGATGAGAAAGATACATTCATAAATGGACATTCTAGTTTTGATTTCTCTTTCTAATTAAACTCCTAACTGACTTAGGAAGGACACAATCTACGAGGAGAATCGAGCTTGAACGGAATAGGATGCAAATAATGCTTTGTTCAACTGACCTAACCCATATCTGATGCTTACCTACTTACAATTCAAGTTCAAGTCCAAATAAAACGCAGCCAGCCAGTGTCAGTCAAAAAATAAGAAAATAAAGAAAATAAAATACCAAAAGGGAAGTATAGTCACGAAGTCAGAGGTTCACATGACGCCCACATGTATAAAAATCCCCACTCATGTGATCCTCCACTCCCCCACTTTGAAACCCAAAGCAGCTTCTGCAGCGCACAGCCGTTACCAAAAAAGACGCGATGAAGTCAATCTCAATCTCCGCAATCCAACGGCCACGATCTCTCCCTCCCCTTCCCCTTTCCCAATCCTCGCGACGCCTCTGATCATGTTAGCCGCCGCCTCCTCCTCAACCACATGGCTCCGAGCTCGCCGAAGCCGCTACCTCTTCCTCCTCATCTGCTCTCCGATTCTCATCCCCTTTCTCTGCGCCACTTTCCCTTTCCTCTGCGCCGCCGAGCTCTGCCTCCGGCTCTGTCGCCGCCGCCGTATAAAGACGGCTCACGGCGCCGACGAGGAGGTGGAGGAACGGCTGCGGCGATGCGAAGAAGGACGCGGCGGCGAGAGAGAAGAGATGGGGCTGCTGCAGAGGTATTTGGAGGATCAGTTGCTGCTCGTTGGATCTGTGTATGATTGTGGGGATGATGATGTTGATGATCGTTTGTATCATGAGATTCATGACTATGATAATGATTCCAAAACTACTCCTCTTTTGGCTTGATTGTTTTTGCTTTGCACTTTTTTTTTTTTTTTTTTTTTTTTTTTTTTTTTTTTTTTTTGGTGATATTTTTATTTATTTTTTCTTTTGGTTGAAATTTGTTTGTGAAGTTTTTTTGTTGAGAATTTTTGGAATTGTGAATATGAAATAGTGGTGTGCGTCTTTGCCTTGCCCTTGAGTTTTTGAGAAGTAGAAGCATCAGTCCACTAAAGGAAAAAACAAAGAGTTTGCCATTGAAAAAAATTTACACGCATGACATTTTTTCCTTCAGCTATGCCTCCGTCCATCCTCTCAATATTCAAATCGGGGATTTCCGATTTTGGACGAGAAGGGAAGTGTGACGAGCCCAATATATGGATCAATCCAATTTTCGTGAATGCAAAATTAATCCTTACCAAAACTACAATATCTAAATGAATAATGCGAGAAAATTGTAATTAATTTTTTAATATATATATATATGGAGCTTCAGTTGAGACGCTTTTTAAATAAGTTTATTTGAAGCCGGTTGGACGGTAAGAGAGAAATTCATTAATGATAAAAATAAAAAGATACATCTTAGGAGGACCAAAACCTTACAACAACCAACGTACAAAATACAACAAAATTGACAGAGGCAATGAGAGAAGCAATGCCTAGGATGATGATGCTTCCGCTTGTTTTCCTCCTAGTTTTTCATGGTTCTGCTTCATGGGCAGCCTCAGCTTCTGTCTATGACAACTTTCTTCAATGCCTAAACGCAAACACAAATTTATCATCAACCCAATTGCCCAACATAATCTTATGCCGAAAACAACCCTTTGTACTCATCTATTCTACAAGCCTCCATCAGAAACTCAATGTTCAACATCACTTCAACCCCAAAACCAGTCCTCATTGTCACACCCTCAGCTGAATCTCGTGTCCAAGCCTCTGTTGTTTGTGCAAAAACAGCTTGGCATACAGCTGAGAATCCGAAGTGGTGGGCACACGATTATGAGGGCCATTCTGTTAGCTAGTAGGCTGACTGTTTGGCATTGATGAGGTTGGCTGCATTAATGAGGTTAGCTTGACGTTAGGAAGCTGCTGCAATCTCCAGGATTAGGGGCTCAATTAATATTGAGCTTGAATAGCAAGCCCTCTCCTTGTATATATATTCTGCTGTATGTATTACAAAAGAAATTAATGAAAATTGAAACCAAGTAAACCAGAAAACCTCTCCTCTTACACTCTATTTGGCATTTTCTTACTGGTCTGATCAGACCTTTATTGTCCTTGACATGTTCAACCTCAGGTCTGTGACTGTAGACATTAAGGTGTTTGCCCCACAGTTGGTATTGGTGGGCACATAAGTGGCGGTGGCTATGGAAACATGTTGAGCAAGTTTGGCCTTGCTGTTGACAATGTCATTGATGCTCTGATTGTTGATGCTAAGTGGAGAGTTCTTGATAGAAAATCAATGGGAGAAGACCTGTTTTGGGCTATTAAAGGAGGGGGTGGAGGAAGCTTTGATGTCATTGTTGCATACAAATTGAAGCTGGTTTCTGTCCCAGAAACTATCACAGTTTTCCTGGCTGTGAGAACGTTGGAAGAGAATGCAACCGACCTCGTTTCGAGGTGGCACCAACCACAGACCATGGTCTGTTTATGAGGCTGCTGTTGCAGCCAGGGAGCAACATTGTTAAAGCCACACCCACACTTATGGCAGAGTTTCTAGGCAATACTGACCAACTTGTGTCATTATTGGGGAAGCAGTTTCCTGAGTTGGGTTTGAAGGAGGAGGACTGTAAGGAGATGAGCTGGATTGAGTATGTGCTTTGGTGGGCAAAGTATGATAATGGGATCGCCCCTGATGTATTGCTTGATAGAAATCCTGATCATGCAAATTTCCTGAAAAGGAAGTCTGATTATGTTCAAACCCCAATTTCCAAAGGCAGATTGGAGTTGGTGTGGAAGAAGATGATTGAAACAGGCCAAATAGGTCTGGGTTTCAATCCATATGGTGGGTTGATGAGTCGGATTCCAGCCTCTGCCACGCTTTTTCCACACCGTGCCGGGAACTTGTTCAAAGTTCAGTACCACAGACGCCAGGAGGTTTTTCAGGTTCATGACCCCATTTGTGTCCAAGAACCCAAGGAGTGCTTTCTTAAATTACAGGGACCTTGACATTGGTGTCAATAAATTTGGTAACAGAAGCTATGAACAAGGGAAGGTGTATGCATGACTTGAAGTACTTCAATTACAATTTTGATAGATTGGTGAAGGAGAAGACTGCTGTTGATCCAGAAAATTTCTTCAGGAACGAGCAGAGCATCCCACCTAATCCAAGTTTCCACTCAGAGCCACCTCGTCCAAGCTTCCACTCACACCCAGCTTTTTCAAGCTTGCACTTAGAGGTGAATGGCGGGTCAAGCTCAAGTTGTAAACCATCAATGGGGAAGCTGAAGCTAGTACTGGCTCTACTAGTGTTCTTGTTTATTTCTTTTTAATTCTGTATTAGTTAGTTCTTTTTCTTTTTTCGGGTCGAGATATTTATTAGTTCTTAGCAGATTGGCAACCCCTCAATTTTGTACAGTGGTAATTGGTAGAAAGAATTTTTGTTGGAGTTTTTAGTATTTGGAACTTTAATCCGTAGTTTTTGACATGCATCTTCATCTTACTTGTCAGAGGTACAAACCAAAAGATACTTGAGAAACAAGAAAAGTATAAATCTTTACTTGTCCACTTTAGAAAAGAGAAAGGCACTATATTTATCAAAAGAAGGAGACTGTTGAGAGCCAGAAATTCATATTCCCCATTACAACAAAGCTCAATTTGTAATACGGATTGACTGCGTATTAGACAACACGCTATCATACCTTGGGGCTTTTATGCCTCCCTCCTCCACCGCGGGGGCTTTTATCCATTCCCAACATTTGGGGATTTTTGTTTGAATTTCCGTACCCTTCTACCCTTCACACTATGGTGTGGGCTCATCCATCGAATATTTCCGTCCCTTTTATCCATTTTGGGCTTTTTATCCATCAAACTTTTATGTCCTTCATGTGAACGTGGGCTCATCCATCGAATTTATGCCGTTGTATTGCATGTGTATTGCATTTTTATTGCGCATCTGCATATTTTCCTTTTTTCCAATTTTCTAATTTTTGTATTTTCCTAATATATTTTCCCATTTTCCTAATAAGAAGGCAATACAAAATTCTAGTCCCAACTATATAATTTTGATTCCAAGACACTTGAAAAAATAGGTGACATGACATGAATAGCATAGCAATATAGAGACAATGTGAAGGCAATAAAATACTCCATACTCCCAACTATATAATTATTTCCAAGACAGGTATATGAATTATTTAAATACTTGTATGTCAGAGGGGAATATATCTTTCCTTCACTCTATCCCTCAAAGACACGTCCTCGTCTTTTTTCTATCAGCAGCTGAGAGTATAAACCATCAAAATTTCAGTGAAAAGTGCAAACAAAGCTTCGACTGGGTTGATTAGAAGTGAAAAGTAACCATTGAATATTGCTAACAAACCTAATAACTTCATATTGATTTCGAGTGGTATTTTCGGAACTTCTCACACAAACATACACAGAAGATAGGCTTTACCAATCCAACATCAAATAATGACCTTTCTATGGACAAAGAACAACTCAGAACATCTTAACATCTATCAGTACTTTGAATTACGGCACTCTACATCTAAAGGGGGGGAAAAAAAGGCATACCTATGAGATAGTTGCAATCTGATTTTGTGACCAAACTCAACTTAAACAGAAGAAAGATTAAGGACATGAAAAAAATAGAAAGAAAGAAGATGAGAAAGAAGGTTAGAATGTTACCTCTTGCAAAACTCCGTTACATATCGTGAGCCGTTGTAAAAAATGAACCACATCAAAACAAGGACCAAAGTATGTGTCAAAATTAAGGAACTCACAAATTCAATATAACAGCACAGAGGAAGAGAGAGAGAAGTTCATCAAACAATGATCGAGTTACGGTGCCACTTGATGTTCTTACACCAAATAGGCTTGATAACAAGTACTATACCGATTTGAAGAACCATCATGGCCTGCTTACATCAGATCAAACTCTTCTTACCAGCCGTTCGACAGCCGGGATTGTGAGGAACAATGCCAGATTTGGTACAGCTTGGGCTAATAAGTTTGCAGCAGCCATGGTGAAAATGGGCTCCATTGATGTCCTCACAGGAAGGCAAGGTGAGACCAGGAACAACTGCAAGGTTGTGAAGTAGAACACATATATAGGGATTTATTGGCCCCATGATCAAATTGGAGCTTTGTTTTGTTGATCACACACACATAATTGTATGAAATTGATTCATTAAACTTGTTTATTAGTAAGCTTTTTGTGTTTAATTTTAATGAACACTCCAATCGCAAACCTATGCATTAAGTTTGAACTTTCAATCATGTGGCAATCAACATCTTCATATAAATAATAAAAACAAATGAATTAATAATACCATGTGTAACCAAAATCATTGTACTAAAGTAACTAAACTAATATGTTGGTCCAACCCAACAATTTGTCAAAGACTGAATCCTGTGAAATTGAATATCAAAGTTTTCCCTCTTTCTGCCAAGTCACATATGTTCTCAGTGTGGTAGGTTTATGAATCAGTATAGTACTTGTTATCAAGCATTACTTCTTCAACATGTATTTCCCCTGCTATTGATTAAAGATCATCAGATTGAACCAGAAACATGATATACAAGTTTTGATGAAACTTATACATGCTTTCGAACCCGTTACAGCAAGTATTTACAATATGTTCAAGCAAAATGCTTCTTTTTTCCAATTGAACAAATGGTAAACGTCATACAACTACTTGAAAATTACAATTATATACTCCATCTCTACATGATCAAGAATAAGCTCACGCATAAGAATACAATTTTTTTTGTGATTTCTGAACTTCAAAATGACAAAAATCAATCATATTGAACCCAATTCATGGCTCTAGAACCTACAAACAGTAATCACAGGTTGGTGCCAGGTTAAGATGTATCCGAATAAATACAAGCTGACAAAATTACATGTAAATGAAAAACAAAAAGTACATAAACCCAAAACAAAGAAAATATATATATAATATATATAAATTCCAGCAATAGAAAAATTAGTAGGAAAAGCGGATTGTAGCACTGAGCTTCTCTGAGATACAGAGATTTATTATAAATCAACGAAACAATATCAATCAATTATAAACTCTAATCCAAATAACAATAACAATCAATATCAATAATAAATTCTAATCCATAAAAAACACTATATATATATATATATATATATATCAATTTCATTAGAAATATGGTAGAGCCCTGTTCGTCACTTACAGAGTAAAAATAGGGAAAACAGGCAAAACTAGGAAAGCAGAATAACAAACTCTCCAAGGAGCAATCTTACTGAACCTAGCTTCTAGAACCATTATTACAACTGAAATGAGAAATGGGAAATTGTAGATCTGGAGCTTAATAGGAATATGACCCAATGGTTCCTAACCAAATATAAATTCTACTCACTTGAAATTATGGGCGGTGCCGGCAACACAAGGGCTGCTGCGGCGGCAGGAGGTGTCGGCGCCGGAGAAGTCGTGGTGGGGGTTGGGGCTTAGGGTTTGAGTTTTGAGCGGAACTGTGAAACTAATTTGGGAATTAAGGGTTTGCGGGGTTCTGTTCCTTTCTAATTTCGAATGGACTGTGTTTAGGTGGTGAGGAAATTATTGACCCAAAAAAACAAAAAAACAATAAAAAGGTGGTGTGGAAATTTTTGGGGTTATTGGATGTAAGATTGTGAAGATAAAGATTCTGTATTGGAAAATTGAGAAACTTAACAACGACTGATAAAGAGTTGGATTACTTCCTTTATGACCAATTGATTTTAGAGTGGAATCTCAACTTCCTTACTCTTTACATTTATATTCTTACACGCCCTACATGAGTAGTGAATTTTCAGCATAATACGTAAATAACACATATTGAATTACGTAAAGCACGTGAGGCCGTTGGGCTTTCACACGTGAAATAACGTGATACTATGAAAGCAGTGAGAGCAGATAGGCTGATTTCAGACTGAGAAAAGAAAAAGTGATGAAGAGGTGATAGGTGAGCAATAGGAATAGCGGTCAGTTTTATGGGCTTTGAAACAAGGGGCCATTTGGGGATTGTCTAGTGAAGCCAGCGGCCAAAGCCGCCTATTTCCCTTTAAATTTCAAATGGAAAGAAAGGGACAGCAAAGAACAACCAGCCAACAGCTCTGGCTTGCTTTTAGAAGCAAGACTGATCTGATCGCTGTGGGCCCCACTCCAGGCCCCCAAAAAGACAAAATGGCCCCTCTCGACCTGGCAGGCGTTACAACCGTTGCGGCCGGCTCTTTGCCTCTCTCCTCAAACATCGATGTTGTCAAAGGTTTCATTTCATTGAAAATCCTTCATTGTTTGATCACATGACAGCCTGTTCTAACAACACCTACTACAAACTCCACACGTGTCCCGAGACGACCTTGGCTTTGCCTTAGGATTTTTGTTTTTTTTTAATCCAAATTGCGTTAGGGTTTCGCGGTGTTATTCTTCTTTGACAGCTCTGTCACTGTATTATTTCTATAAGGAATAAAATCTTTGAAGAGAAGGAAGGGGATTCCGACCAAAAAATAGACGGAAGGGGAGATTTCAATTTTTTTAATTTTTTCGACAAACGATAAGATATTTACAAGATAATCTTACAACATGCCAATACATCCACAACAATACTACACCACAACAATGAAGCTAACTATAATGAGTTATGCTTCGAACTCATTAAAAATTTAGATCGTCCTTATATTCATGTGAGTTGAAGTAGAGACATACCACTAAATCAAAGACTAATTATTTTTATTTTTATTTATTTACTCAGAGGCGGGGCACGGTGATGTGTTTGAAAATTTTGAGAACCCTGCTGCCATAAGAAAACGTGCTTAGCGGTTTCTGAGATTTTATGCGGCTTCTGTTTGGGTAGGGCGGCCCATTGTTTTGAAAAATCAAACGGCTTTTTTTGGACTATTTATTTTGTGAAATCATTTATATATAAAATTCAAGGAAAAGAAAGAAAAATTGTGAGTACATGAATTGACAATATGAATCATTGTGACAGCCAATAGGTCCTTTTTTTTGGGTATGATGTTTGAGATTTATTTTTAAATATCCAACTAAGAAAAATATTAGATTAATTTTTCTAAGGGCACTAGCATCAATAAGTCATCACTCTACCAACTTTCTCCACAAATTGAGGATTAGAGGGCTTCATCCTTGCATTTGCATGTGCAATTGACAAAAGGAGATGAACAAGAAAAAGCAACCTCTTACATGATCATTTCTATCACAATACAATAATATTTTAATTTAAAACAAATCAACTTTAATTACACATTTTCTTATTGTGAGCATGTCATCTATTACGTCATAATGCGATATTTGGGCTAAATAGTTAGTCTGAGAAAAAATTGAAAGTGGGTTATCCTTGTTGTTTAACAAAAAAACAAAAATCTTTAAAAGTAAAAATTTAAAATTTAAAATTTAAAATTATATGTTTTGATTAAACATAATTAAAGTCTGTTCATGTAAAATAATGAAAGGTCAAATTTCTAAGTTGGTGCAAGATTTGAACTCTTATCATAGATATAAAGGTATAATATTCTCTACCGCTCAAGCCATTCGCCCTAGAGTTGAACGTAACATTTAGTGCACCTTTCATACTAAAAAAATGGGTTGCAAAATAATGTTGGATGACCAATTCTCAAAGGTCGAGTGAGTGACGGCCTATTAGTTTCTTGAAGGGATAGAACATAAAATCCATTCCCGTTTCTCAAATTTTCTTTTATTAGATAAGTACAAACTTATGACCTAATGATGGCTACATTGGACATTTTGGATATCTTCAAATAAAATATTTTTTAAGATTAAAAAAATAAAATAAAATGGGGTAAGTGAAATTAAGAAGAGGGCAGGGCGATAGTGATATTTGGGAGTTTTGTGATATATTGGAGGAAAGTACACGAAATAATAAAGGAGATTCTCATAGGAGGAGGGGAAGTTTTAGAATTTTAGAAGAAGAAGAAGAAGAAGTGGGGTGGGCCCCGACCCGAAAACAAAGTGGTGTACTAGCTGGCAAACCGGTCTGACAGACTGGTTCTTCCCATAGCCAACACCACCAACATCAACAACCATCACCTTCTCCATTTTCTTCAAACCCCCCCTCTCCCCCTCAATCCCTCACCACTCAAACCTCAACTTCCACTTCTTCCTCACCATTTTTAAGACCCCCAACCCCTCTCTCTCTCTCTCTCTCTCTCTCTCTCTCTCTGAAGATTTGATAAACATAATTAATTCTTATGGCTGAGGAGCACCAGAAGCCCGAGGCTGCTGCTGTTGCAGAAGCACCAGCAACTTACAGTGAGGAAGTTGTGGTGGTGGCTGATGCGCCGCCTGCCGAGAAGGCTGTACCCGAGAAAGAAGGTCCTCCGGAGGCCGAGGCTGAGGCGGTAGCCGAGAAGCCTGTGGCTGAGGAGAAGGCCCCCAAGGCTGCTGAGGAGGATCAGAAAATCATCGCTCAGTCGGTTTCTTTCAAGGAGGAGAGCTATGTTGTTGGTGAGCTTCCCGAGCCGCAAAAGAAGGCTCTTGAGGAGCTCAAGCAACTCATCCAGGAGGCCCTCAACAAGCACGAGTTCACTGCTCCGCCCACTCCCCCGCCGGCCAAGGAGGAAGAGAAGCCTGCACCGCCTGAGGAGAAGAAGGCCGAAGAAGAACCCAAAGCTGAAGTTGCTGCTGCTGAAGAACCAAAAACAGCAGAAGCAGCAAAAGAAGCCAAAGAAGAAGAGAAGCCCAAAGAGGAAGCCAAAGAAGAAGACAAGCCCAAAGTGGAAGAAGAAGAGAAGCCAACAGAGACTGTGGCTGTGGTTGTGACAGAGGAGGTTGTGGAGACTGTTGACGATGACGGCGCAAAGACCGTAGAGGCCATCAAAGAGACCATAGTGGAAGTTGCCTCTGCTTCTGCAGCAGAGGAGGCTGCAGCCGAGCCTAAACCAGAATCCGAGGTGGCAGCGGAGGCTTGTGCTGCTGCTGCTCCGGCCCCGGAGGAGCCGAAGACGGAAGAGGAAGCCCCCGCCGCACCTCCTCCGCCGCCGGAGGAGGTGCATATCTGGGGAATTCCGCTCCTCAGTGACGAGCGGAGCGACGTCGTTCTGCTAAAGTTCCTGAGAGCCAGGGACTTCAAGGTGAAGGACGCGTTCGCCATGATCAAGAACAGCGTGCGGTGGAGGAAGGAGTTTGGCATCGACGCCCTTCTGGAGGAGGATCTTGGAAGCCATTGGGACAAGGTGGTTTTCACCCATGGAGTTGACAAGGAAGGCCACTCTGTCTGCTACAACGTTTTTGGGCAGTTTCAGAACAAGGAGCTCTACCAGAACACCTTCACAGATGAAGAGAAGAGGTCAAAGTTCATCAAGTGGAGGATCCAGTTCTTGGAGAAGAGCATCAGAAAGTTTGACTTCAACCCTACTGGGATTTCGACAATTGTTCAGGTCAATGATCTCAAGAACTTCCCTGGTTTCTTCAAGTGGGAGCACAACCAGGTCACCAACCAGGCCCTTCAATTGCTTCAGGATAACTACCCTGAGTTTGTAGCCAAACAGGTACTTAAATTACTCAATTAGTGACTGATTAATTAGCGATAATATTCTCTATTATTAATTGCTTAATATGATATCTGGGTTTTGGTTTTTGAAGGTGTTCATCAATGTCCCATGGTGGTATCTTGCTTTCAACAGGATGATCAGCCCCTTCCTCACCCAGAGGACCAAGAGCAAGTTTGTGTTTGCTGGTCCTTCCAAGTCTGCTGAGACCCTTTTCAAGTAAGTATTGTAATTTCTATTTAATTATCCATTTTCATGTCCTTTTTTCTGCACCACTGCTCTGCAGCTGTAGAGCTTTTGTTCATTCATCAAAATTTTAAAAATAAAAATAAATAAATAAAAGGGGTATGTGTATAATTTAATTTCTGAATTTTGTGAAACAGATATATTGCTCCTGAGCATGTACCAGTTCAGTATGGTGGGCTAAGCAGGGAGGGTGAGCATGAATTCACCACATCTGATCCTGTCACTGAGATCACAGTTAAGCCAGCCACAAAGCACACAGTTGAAATCCCAGTCTCTGAGGTATGCAGGGCTCAAGAAATTAAATGGTAGAATACATGAGCTTTGTAATTGTATTTTTTTAATTCTAAATTCTCATTGGTTTTTGCTGAATTTGCTTGCAGAATGGTCTTCTGGTTTGGGAAGTGAGAGTGGTGGGATGGGATGTGAGCTATGGAGCCGAATTTGTGCCGTCCGCGGAGGACGGGTACACCATAATATTGCAGAAGACCAGGAAGGTTGCTCCAGCTGACGAGCCAGTGATCTCAAACAGCTACAAGATTGGGGAGGCAGGCAAGGTGGTGCTCACCATTGATAACCAAAGTTCCAAGAAAAAGAAGCTCCTCTACAGGTCCAAGACCAAGCCTTGCTCCGATTGAACAAAGAAAGCTTGAATAATTCAATTATTCATGCCTGTCTTGGATCAGCAATTCCAATCAAACAGAAGACAATTCAATTGCAGCATTGCAGAATAAACAAGTCTGGGGCTTCTTTGTTTTCTTTTTTCTTTAATTTTTAAATACAGGGTTAATTATTTTTTCTTCTTTTGGTTGATATTTTTTTTTGTTTTGCAACGAAGAAAAACAAGTCTGGGGGTATTTTTATTCATATTTGTTTTAGTGTATGGGGGTTTTGGTAATTTTGTTTGGATTGTTTGTAAACAATAGTTGAAGTCGAGTCCTGGATGGATAGATGATGGCTTGTCGTGACAGTACATATGATATGTTGGGGGAATTGGAATGTGTGTCGACATGGGACAGAAACTCTTTCTTTATACTCTTTTGCCTGTAAAATCTGTGTAAATTTGGTCTCTTCTGTTTCCTGTTATTTTCTGTTTGTCATTTTTTATTTTTAAGCCTTGAGTTTATCTATTGTTGTATGCCTATTTTAATAATACTATGTTATTTATTAATCTATTTTCCCTTTTCCATTTTTTATTATTTCTTATTAAAAGGACATTTTTAGCCTATTTGTCGGTGAAAGTTTGATTAAGAGTTGTTTTATAATCTAATCAGTTTAATATTTATACTAAACCTGGCAGTAAAATAATTTAAGGGTTTAAAAAGTATAATTTAAAACCCTAAAAATCGATTGAAAAGAAAAAGTTAACAAACCTTTCCACATGCTCCACACCACCTAATCCTCTCATATTTCGTGTCATGTAGTGTTCTTTCGCTCTTGGGTATTGAATTAGAGTCGTGAACAATAGAGGCGTTACATTATTCGGGAAGTATTATAATATGAATGGACGATAAAATTAAGACATTGTTAGTATGAAATTCATGTTGGTATTTTCTAGACCTTATTATAGATTTGGAAGTGTAAGAATAAAGTTGCCTCTCAATCCCGATTTCCAGACTTGTGGATTAACAAATGAACGACATTTGATTTAAGGGAAAGTCAAGCCATTATCATGCATGTATATTAGGAAATTGTTTTAAAGTCTGATTCAATCCCGTTTTATTGATTTACTGTTTTTTTAAAGTAAATTGAAGTTTGTCTGGAGGTGTTTTCCTTTTAGGCTGTTTGCCTCAAATCAATCTAATTAGTCCTACTTTCTCTTATTGATATATAGTTGCTTTTCTAATCAAGTTTTAGGTGCCTGAAATCATGTTTCGAATCCGATCACAATATCAATGTGTCAGATCACGCTTTGGTTGCTTTGAAATTGTGATTGATAAAACCTTCTTTTCTTGAATATTTTCCATTTCTATTATTTTATTTTTCACATTTGATTTATCTATAGAAGAGGAAAATATCTTTGTGATTTTATTATTTAATTAGTGCAAATTAAGCTAATATCTAGCATGTAATATCGATAGAATATTAATGTCGTCTCTTCTCCAACATTGATTGATAACATGATCCACAACATATCAAAGGAAGCAGCCATCCCATTTTTAACGTAACTTTGCCCAAGTAACAAAGGTTGAAGCACGTAATATCGATACAATATCAATCACTAATAATATTTTTCTAATATAAACACCAATCTAAATCACATGAGAAGATGAAGTTTATCACACGCATTAATACACTACTAAAATATTATATGCATTATAACTTAAGATCACTGATATGTAAATCAAGATTTTTTTTTCCGTTCGACTACCCCGTTGGTGGTACTACTAATCATCCTTTTTTTCGAACTTAAGTCTGCCCAAGTAGAAAAAGTTAATGCCACATTAGTAACATTCATCATGATTTGGGGCAGCCGAGGTACTAGCTAAAATTTCAGGATTTTCCTCTTCATTTATAAACTGACAGCGTTTTCGAGGTTAAAAAACATACATCTTGGTACCAAACAATTCGAATTTTATAGTGTTCGGTGCATCGAAGGAGGAGTTGGACCCTTTTTCTTCGTCACTGTCTTGTTCCTTTCCTCTGCAACTCCATAGTGGAATTACAGACCGTTAAAAAACAATAAATAAATAAAGAAAAAGAAAAAGAAAAGGGAAAAAGTTTTATTATTATTTTTACTTGGTCTGGAAAAGGGGAAAAAAAAAGTATATCCATGACCAGAGCACAGCACAGTCATTTCATTCCATGAGCTCTTTAATCATACATGGGAGGGAACAAAGGGTTGCACATGTTGTTAACATTCATGATAACTTTCCGTTGTAAATATTTTTTTTAATCACTTTAAAAATCTATAAATAAATTTTAAAAAAAACAAAAAGAAAGTTGGGCAGTAATTTTGGCCATCAATCACTTTTGCAAAAAGCAGCCTTCTTAGTTGTCTTCTTTAGGTAGCTTTATTCATCTTGATTCCTTCCTAGGGTTAGGGCCCCATGTTTGGTTCGTAATCATTTTCCCCACCACCTTTAATTAATTAAACATAAATAATTATTTATTATTACTAAATTAAATTTTATCATCAAGATGAAGCAACAGGGTCAAACTATGATCACACTTTAAATATTACAAGGCATCTGCTAATTATTAATATTATTTCTTTTTAAATGGTAATTTTATAGTTTTATAATTGTGTTGTGGTTGGAGATTCTTTGTGTTGATTGCTACATTTCATGCTGATTTTTTCTTTGTATGATATTTTTCCACTAGGCCGCCTTATAATCAGTCCCCTTTTCTATTAAATACATAAATTAAATGCTTCCAAGGGTTTTTAAGATCATCCTTTGGCTATTAGTGATAAGGATTGTGGAACTGGTATGTTGCTATCAAATACCTTTTGCATTGGTGAAAATGCATGGCTTCAACTCAACGCTCTGAAAAAAGACAACCAAATATCTTTGTCTAATGTTTGGATGAAGGAAAAATAACTCGGGATTTAACTAAAAGTCAGAAATTGATATTTTCATTGTTTAACAATTTAAACATGGAACTTATTAAATAACGAAAGGGGAAAAATCGTTGAAATTGGGGATCGAAATTCCAATTGAACAGAAATTCGTTTTCACTATAAATAACGCACAAGAAAAATAGAGGAAATTGGGGATTGAGATTCCCGAATTTAATTTTTGCCAAAGAAGTTATCATTTAACAATTCCAATTCAATCCCTAAACCGAATTGTTGAAATTGGAATTGAATGGTTGGATTGGATGGTTGGATTGAACCCTTTATTCAACCCCACTTACCCAAATGAATCCGGATCCCACCCAAATTCCCCTCATTGTAACATCTCCCTGGATTTGGGATTTGGTACCTTGTGCTCATATGACAAAAAAGTGGACTGGTCCAATTAGTATGAGGGTTGGGCTGTGGGGTGCCATTAGGAACTAAAGTTCGATTACTGTCTCTGGACGCCTTGTAAAATTGTGAAACTCTTTTGGCACCTCACTACAGTCAACACTACACCTAATTAACCGTTCATTAATGTCTCTAATTTTAAAATGGTTTTAGTTTTTCTTTAGCTGAAACAACTGTGTGGGCGCATGAGCTCATTCTAGATGACTTGGTTGAGGATCTTTGACAATGGTTTTGGGTTTGATTGAAATAAATTGTAGTTTCATACAAAATTAAAATAAAAACTGAAAATTAAAATGATTATCAAACGAGCGAGTAATTAAATAAAAACAACGTCCTACAGTTTACCGCCACGTTGTTCTTGCCACTTCAATTGTCAACTAACGAACATGATAACATGTGCTCGGTAGTACACATTGTTGTCCTGTGGGACAATACAAAATGTTAGAGCTGAAATTGGACATTAAGTTCCCAACAAGAACGCCAAAACTATAAACCAAGAAAGCCAACACCACGTCCCTTCAATGGGTTGATTATGATTGCTGCCCGAAGACTGTGCACAACATGAAAAAGCAAATGGAAAAAGAATTGTCCCACCAAGTTACCAACCCATGCGAATCCACGTACCTAAAAATCGAAAGCTCACCAAACAAATATCATACAATATAATGAATGCAAACAGAATTCTTTATAAGCATGATGAGTAATGGTACGTGTGAGTTAGCGCTGTTGTTGGTCAAAGTAATGTGTCCGTCTTCTTACATATCAAATTTAAATATTCTTTATTTTTATTTTTTAAATTAGGGTATATTTACTTATTAGGAATATAAGAGAAGTCACGAATTACCAACCTAGAAATATGAGAACTAAGGAATTGGAACTATTCCCCTAATTGATCCAATTTCTGATTTGAGTGTATTGGATTATGAATATTATAGTGAAGCTTACATAATTTCAATACCCATATGTTCTAATACTCACTCCTAATAAGTAAACATGTTATCAAAAGTAGTTTAGAATTGATAAATCGAACACATGAGTAATCAGTATTTAAATTCAGCAACATAGTTTTATGGGAAACAACAAGGCAAAACAAACGAAACTCAAGGTGAAATCAAAACATTATTACTCATTTGATTTAGGAATTATTTTTGCTCGTCACTTTAACATAAGGTGTACTTTCACTACCATTCTCATCACTTGACATGTGTCAGTTGACATAATTATAGTTAACTCTTTACTTTGTATTTATAAAATTATAGTTATACCTGTAGATACGTGTCAAATATTGAAAAAAATAGTAAAAAAGAATATACCTAGAATTAAAATAGTGAGTAAAATACTCCCTTGATCTTATTAGCCCTGGCAGTGTGAAGCACAAATTGCGGCTGCAAGCCTGCAAGATTCGTATAAAAGTCGCTATGTCTGTCTTTATAAAATAAGCCAGCTGCTACAAACAACCAACATGCTTAAAGTTGTCAGCAACCAACACAAGGCGTGTGGTTTAAAACTTCATTGAAAAAGTAAAACTCAATCTTCTCCCTCACTAACATAGTGTTTGAGTCTAAATTTTAGGTGTTGGGCATGATTGATTTTGGATGAGGGTCTATTAGTCAACTTGGGTTCCAGCCAAAAACCATAATACTTATTTAACATATTTCAAAGTGCATAATTAATCAACCCATTCAATTGCAAAAAAGAAGAAAATAGAGGTGCTTAATTAAGACTTTATCCTATTTCAACTTCGGAGATTTAGAATGACAAGAAATGCTAAGGACAATCACTCATGAGTGTAGGTGGTTATGCAAGTAGTCCGACAATACATCAACATTCGACAGTTACCTTTCGCGCATGATTATTTAGATTTGCATAATATTAACATATTTAGCCTTGAATATTGTAGTGCCCAATGAAAATATGATCAAAGCTTATATTGCTTCGCGAAAGTCAAACTATTCCTCCTTACCCCCTTAATTGATATATATATATATATATATATATATATTTGGAGTCTCACTTTGTCCTCTTTGAAATTTTGTCAAAACTGATGTAGCTCCAACATTGTAGAAAATTTGAAGGGCCATGTAGGAGCCACGCCATTGGTTTTGATGAAATTATTAATGAATTTCATGAGAGGGTTGATTGAGACTTAAAACATTGGTCAATGGAGCAAAGTTGATCACAGTTCACGTAGAGTGGCAATTTCCAACATGACTCGAAACACACAGCACGGAAAATTAACAAATCAACCAGCCACTGACCCGTTAATAAAAGGTGAGTTTCGAATCAACCTGCTAAGATACCTATGTAACTTGCCGACCCATTTTCTTTGTTTATTCTTCATTTTCTTCATCTTAAAAAAATTATTTCTCTTTCTCAATCTTCATATATAGAGAGAGGCAAAATGCAATCACTATTTTATAAAATAAATAAAAAAACAATTACTTTATTAAATTATCTAAATTCAAGATTTTTTATTTGCTCTCACTTAATGGGTCAACCCAACACGACCCGAAACTCACACAAGAAATTAGCGAGTCAACTTGTACATAAAATGTTTATTAAACGGGTCAGATTTAGGTTGTTCATTCTTGGCACGACTCATTTCCAACCCTAGTTTCACGAACACTAGTACAACTAAGGAAAAAGCAAAAGGAGAGAGAAAAATTTTAAAAGAAGCAAAAATGGACAAAAATGCCCTTATTTATTTTTAAATTTCCTAAGGAATCCAATACATTTGCATGTCTTTGATTTGAAAGTTGAGCGGTTTTTTTGTCTTTTTTGAAAAAGCTTTGGCTTTTTCTAAAAGTGAAATTTTTTTTATGTCTAAAACCTAAAAAACCTTATATTTTATTATGGTGTGGAACTTGCTTATAGGAATGGAATGGATGTGTGCTGAGAGCTCTTAACAATTTTTTTTTTAATTTTTTTTTTTTTTTTTTTTTTTTTATATTTTTAATAAAATATTTTTTTAAAAATTTTTTCAATATAAAAAAAAACTTTAAAAAAAACTCAAAAACACCGAGAAACCTCACACGGCTTCAGCACGCCTATAGGGATATGGTAAGGGTTCAATCCAGTCCATCTAATATAACATTTTCATTGATCGGATGGACCCTTCCATCTTTATAACAGCAGTTTTTGCCCCAGCTTCTCTTAAGAGGCCTTGTGCTGGGCTTTTGGCCCTCTTTAATACCAGAGAAAAGAGAGTGCAAGAAAACAAACTCCATCTGAAAATGAGGTTAACATGTGAAAATGAAATCGCAAATGCAGATTTCATGTGTAAAAACTCGTCCTTTGAATACCCATCCATGCTCACGACAGATAGAGATGCGCGTTTGCCAACTAATAAAATGTACTTTTAACGTACGCCTCATGGGATCCAAAATGTTGTCACACAAAACTCACAACTTTCATAAACGGCACCGTTTTCCTCAAATTTGTTCACTTCCTTTCGAATATAAATATAACTTCTGTTTCTAATAATGCCACAAAACAAACCAAAAGATAAAAGAGAAGGAAAAGTTATTTTGCAAAACCAAAAGTTGCAACTATAAACCTCAAGTAGAAACCCCAATTTACTTTACAAACACAACAAAATGAAGATGATAAACAGTATGATGGCAATGCCTTTCCTCTTCACTTTCCCCTCAAGTGCACAACGGAAGTTTTACGTGCACGATTGTTTAAACTGCTTAGTTATCGAAGGGTTCGATCTTGAACCTGTACAGAAGCCTTTTCTTTTTTGAGGTTGGATTATCGATCTTGAGCAATATTTTACCCAGCTCGCCCACTTTGAAACTGTTTTGCACCACTGGTTCATCAGTTGGGCTCATCTTTGTGGCTTTCTGTATGATAATTATGTATCCATTTTCGGTATCGGGCACAAATTCAGTCCCATAGCTCACATCCCACCCCACTACTCGGAGCTCCCACACAATGGTGCACTTCTGCAATTTATCAATATCCAATTAATTAAAGTAATCTTCCCATTCATCACCAGACATGAATCAGAGACGTGGATAACAATAAAAGTAGAACAAAAAGGAAAGATGGAAATCAAACCTCATAAATGATAATTTCCACAGTTTGTTTTGTTCCGGCTTTAACTGTAACATCCGCGACTGGATCGGCAATGGTGAATTCTGGGTTGCAGTCGCAGTAATCCACACTCAAGCCACCATATTGAATTGGAACATGCTCAGGAGAAATGTACCTATAGTATACATACATCAATTGAAATTCAAAGTTCAAACCAAGCATTAAAAACAAGGGACAAAAATATGAGAAAACCAACTTGATATCGGATTATAATTTGGCACATAAGATAGACAGATTCTCTCTACTCACTTGAAAAGGGTCTCCGCAGATTTGCCTGGCCTTGCAAAAACAAACTTGCTTTTGGTCCTCTGGGTCACGAAGGGATTGATCATAGTGTACAATGCAAGATGCCACCAAGGAGCATTGATAAACACCTTAATTAAGAAATCCACAACCAAACAAAAATACATCAACATTCAACACAAACCTGGTATACATCAAATAAACCCAAAAAGTATCAAAATACCAAAATGAACAATCAAGTACCTGTTTGGCAACGAATTCGGGATAATTGTCCTGAAGCAACTGAAGGGCTTGCTTGGTGGCAATCCTAAGCTCCTTCTTCGCAGGACCCGGAGAATTCTTAAGATCATTAACCTGAAAAATAGTACAAACACCACCAGGCCTGAAATCAAGCTTCCTAATGCTCCTCTCCAAGAACTGAACCCGCCATCGAAGAAACTTGGTTCGCTTTTCCTCATCGAGAAACGTTTTCTGATACAACTCTTTGTTCTGAAACTCCCCAAACACATTGTAACACACAGGATGACCCTCCCTATCATATCCATGCATAAACACCACCTTCTCCAAATCATCACCAAGATCTTCATCGACAAGAGCATCGATCCCGAACTCTTTCCTCCATTGGATCGTGTTGCCAAGCATAGTAAACGCATCCTTCACCTTGAAGTCCCTGGCCCTCAAAAACTTTAGAAGAATCACATCGCTTCGATCATCCTTGAGAAGAGGAACTCCCCAAATTGACACTTCCTCTGGAGGAACCGCCACTTGTGTCGCTTCTTTAGCTACCTCCTCTGCTTCCTTCAATGGGTTCTCTTCGATTTTGGGCTCATGGGTCGGCTTAGTTTCTGATTCAGAAATGGGTGGTGGTGCTTCAGCTGCTGCTGCTGCTGCTTTTTCCTGGGTCTCTTGGAGTTTTGGGGAAGTGAACTGGTGACCGTTGAGAGCTTCCTGGACGAGCTGCTTCAGTTCTTGAAGAGCTTTTCTCTCGGAATCCGATAGATCAGACACTATATTGCTCTCCTCCTTGAACGAAATCAAAGATCGAGGAATCTGCTTCCGCTCCGGCTCTTCCTTCTGAGTTTTTTCCTCCGACTCAGTCTCCACCACTGCTGCCACTGGCGGCGGCAGCTCTTCTTTCTCAGACTCTGTCACCTCCGGCAGCGACGGCGGTGGCGGAAGTGGCTCTTGTTCTTTGGCCTCTGTTTCTGTCAAAGGCGGTGGTTCAAGCTCAGCAGCTGCAGCAGCTGCTGCTGGATGTTCATTCTCAGAGGTCGGCTGTGGTACTTGGTCTGAAGGTGGTGAGGTTGTTTTGGGGATTTCATCTGCCATTTTCGGGAAAATGGTAAAAAGGGGGCTGAAGAATTAGATGGAGGGAGATGGGTTTGGTAGGGTTTTCGACTGGTTGCTTAGTAGAAGAAGATGGAAGAAGAAACGAGTAAAGTGAGAGAGATGAAGAGAGAGAGAGATGCTTATTTAGGAACTGACCGTTTTGTCAGCGATGGCCTCGTTGTGTTAACGCATGGTCACCACATACCTCCGCCAGGGATGTGAATGAGGGTTTGGCTTGAATCTGGAATCCTATGCTCTCGTTTTTTAAATTGCTATTTTTTCTCTTTTTTGTATAAAAGTTTTTTTTCTTTTTTGGGTAATACAGCTGAGAGCTTTAGTTTAAACTCAATGGGGAGTTTCTTATTGTGATAAATGTCTAAAATATCAATGGTTTCGGAAATATTGGTGATCCAAAATATGAAGATATCAATAAATTATCTATATTGATAAAAATAAATTAAAAACCAAGGGAATTTTAAGAAAAACTTGGAAATTTTTCTTGAAACTTTGGAGGATGTTTATTTAGTCAAATATCTATTACTTTATCACAAAAAATTGGAAGGAAATGCATTATATGATAGGTTTAACTTATTTAAGTTGATTATATAGTGAGTTGACAAACGTTGCGAGTGTAAAAAGTATGTAGTAATTAATGAAATAATATTAAACATGCCATAATTATTTTTTTATAATGATTTACTATTTAACACTTTATATATTACATAATAAGATACATAGTGACTTTAGTATCACATAGAGTTTCTATAAAGTTTAAATTTGAGTTATTTACACTAACACCCCTAGAGGTTTGAGATTTTAGAAATTACAAAAACACCCCCTGAGGTTTTAAATTGTTTTGACAAAACTTATTTTCATTGATTTTTCATCCAAAGATTGAAGATTTTATACAAAAAAAAATTTCTCCAAATGACAAAATTGGCATTTGAGATTAGATTGCATATACCTCATTAAGGTTAATTTTGTCATTTGCATAATTTTTTTTCATTGAAATCATCAATTTTTGGACAATCTATCAACCAAAAAGGATTTTGTGAAAACAAACTGAAACCTTAGCGGGTGTTTGTGTAATTTTTTAGACCTTATGGGTTTTTGTGAAAACACAAAAAACCTCAAGGGGCGTTAGTATAACTCTTCAAATTTTTCATTGTCTTCATCATCTCGATATTATCGATATTTTGGCAATATTTTGGCCAAATGTTGCTGAAGTGTGTGAGAAATTATTGACATCAATATTTTCCGATATTAGCGATACTTATGCGATATGTGTATGGATATGTTCCAAAATATCATAGACCTAAAAAAACGATAATATCCTCAATATTTCATCCATATTATCAATATTTTAGTCCTTGATTGTGACAGATAATAACATAATTTTAAGAACATAATTTCACCTACTTTACATAAGGTTAATGACCAAAAAAGTAGTACTTAATTTTATAATAATCTAATTAAAACCTCAAAATTACACACAATGTCACTCATTCTAAGTCAATCATACTATGCCACATGTCCAGCCTTCGAAAACCCATCCCGGTTAGCCATCGTTGCCCATCGCTTGCCAGTCACCGCCTCCTCTCGCTGGTGACAAACTCCGTTGTCATTTATTCACCTTAAAACAAAAGAAAATTTTGTGTGCTTGAAGGGACTTGAACCTTGACCCTAGTTTGGCCAAAGCATCCACCAAACCTATAAATAGAAGACTGCCAACAACGTTTATAAGGGTACTTACACCAAACCAAATTCCTTTAACAAGCAAAAACCTTTTATGTTTCTCATGTTTCTTTAAAATGCTTTCTTAAGAGTAAGAGTAACTATCGATAACTATCTCAAAGAATCCCAAAAACCATTATGGGATTTGTGGGCAGTCCACACTGCATTTCATTCATCAATATATCAACAAGAAAGTTCTTTTGATACCCACATTTCTTAAGTATTTTATTGAGCACCATCGAGTCCATCGAGATACCTTAGGATACCGCATTTCCCAGGCTGTTTGAACCCACTGAGCTTGGTAGCTCAGTGTCATAATCGCTGAGCTATCGAGTTCGGTGACCCATTTGCCATCACCAATCGTATTTACCAACCCAACGGCCTTGTAGTTTAGGCCGAGACTTGTTTCTCTTTTAGCCAACAATCGTTTGCAAAGAAGTCAAATCACACTAGTGCGTTCATCCATCCATCCATCCATTTATGTATGAACCATCCGTGCTGGCACACCCGCATACCACACTCACACAAAAGCAAGACGTCTTTATTACGCCCGAGTCCGCCGGACTCAAATTTTGTTATTTCACCACCAAAAGAATCGACGCGTGGCGGAAGAGATTTGGAGTTCAACAAAAGTATTAAAACAAGTCATGTCCATCAATCTCGTAAATTGGTCCGATGTAAAGAGCTCATCTTTTAGAAATGCAATGCCGATGAGAGAGAGAGTTCATGGGTAAATGTGACTCGTTTCTAGTGGAAGAATATTTTTTCCCTGCCGTCCAAATTATTCTCTTTAAGGCCCTCATTGCACTAGACCAATTCCTGATATAAGATTTTCAACTAGAGAATTCGAATTAATACAAATCAAAAATTTATTTTGGATTTAAGAGCCCAAATTTCGATCGGAAAAAAAAATTTAAGAGCCCAAATCCAAATCCACTCCCGCTGAAACGGGCTCTAACTCTTCGGAAGTTTTCGTCGTACAGTTAAGCCCATTTTTCATCAAAATAAAGCCCAGAAAGGATGCGGCTCAAAAGCTAAGGGCCGAAAAGCATAAACGGACCCAACCCCCCCCCCAAAATCACAGATTATCAAGCGCAAGCAAGAGGAGGAGACGAACCCTCACTCTCACAAAATCAGACTCAGCTGCAACAAAGAAACCGATCGAAACACGAAAGAAGCAAATCTAAAGCAGGAGGCAATGGCAGACAACAAAGAATTCTTCCCACCCCAGTACGACGTGAACGCCAAATGGGACGCGTGTCTCGATCTGACGGTCCGGCGCTTCGTCTACTCTTCCTTGGGCGGTGCCTTTGGTGGTCTCCTTTTGTTCAGTCAGTTCTTCCTTTGCCCTTTACTTCTCTGTTTAATTTCTCATTACCCCGTTTGGCTTCTTTGCTATCACCTCATGAGATTTTGTTTTTATCTAAAAAGTTTCATTAATGGTGTTTATGTCCTAGAGGGTGAGCTAATAAGTTTAATTTCCTTTTCACTCTAGGGTTAGATTGTTATAAATACACCCCATGTACTTTCCAGAGATTGGAGAATTCTTGGTGCCAAACCCCTTGGCTTACATCCTTATCATATATTTTCTGTTTTTTTTCATTGTTTTCGCTTCCGCTAAATTACCTAAACACTCAATTCACCCATATCCTACATCAAATTTGGCATCATAGCAAGTTTTCGTTTTTCCTTGGGCCCGAAATTTTCAACTCTCTTTGTCTGCACGCCGTGGGTCAATTGTATGGCTCCAACTAAGCCTGGCAAGACAGACTAAACAGAGATGGACTACAAATGGATTGTTCAAGTTCTGGAAACTCTCACAACACAGGTGTCAGAGCTGACCACCCTCGTCCACCATCCCAAATTACCCTTTTCTAGGATTTCTTAATTTAGGTTGAGAATGGAGTAGGTTGAGCTGCTTATATCATTGCAAAATGATTTCCTTTTACACAATTTCTAAAAACGAAGCATACTGTGTAAAGTAATATTTAGGGATTTCTAATGGAAGTGAGTGGGATTCATGCCTAATATGTAGAAGAATATGGTAGATACAACTAATTAATTTGGTAGAATTCACAACCTACGTTATGTTGGACCTCAGTTCACCTGCCCTATTCCTGCGACAGGACGTGCCAATCGTAAAAATTATGACCACTAGGCACTCTGGATTCATGGAAATGTTATAAAATCAAACTAATCCAACATATGGACATGTACCTGCATCTAATATTCTTACCAGAGGCCATGTATCATAGTTCATAAGCCATAAAAATCAGGAGTAACCATATTTTTACAGTTCTTTTCCCCCCCTTTCCCCTTGGCAGATTGTTGAATTCATTGCATGCTCTACCTAATTATCATGAGCTTGAGACCAATTTTGTTTTTTTCATTTTATTGAACCGAGCATATGCTTTACTCTCCCAAAATTAGCAATCTTGAATTAATCAATGTACTTTTGATGTGTCTTACTAGGGAGTCCTGTGAGTCGCTGGGCTTCTGTAGCTTTTGGCGCTGGATTGGGCATTGGATCCGCATACACGGAGTGCTCTCGTTTATTTGAGGGATCTCCAGCGAAGTTGGCTGCTCCTAAGATTATTGAGACTCCTGCTCCTCAGGTACTGATTTCGTCCAAGTAAACTTAAATAATTGAGGAAAAATTTGAGTTACACTGCTTGAGGTTTGGACTTATTCCACTTGGACCCAACAACTTTGATTTATTCCACCTACACCCCGTAATTTGAAGGGAAGAAACTCAAATTGACAATCAGAGGGCAAGACTGTGATTTCATGCTAAACTAAACAATAAAAAAGCATCTCTCCTCCCTAACCCATAAGAAAAGAAAAAGAAAAAAGAAAACACACGATTGAAGGAGGGTGCCTCTGTCTCCTTACTGAGCCTCTTCTCATCCGACCCCTCACTCTTGGATATGTTTTTATCAATTATCTTTTATTTCCCAAGTCATGGTCACGGGCTTCCTCGTAGGCTGAGGTGCTTGCTTGTGTGGACGCATACTTTATGGACTCGATGGCCTTAGTTTGGATGTAGGACACCTCTTGCTTATAAGCTTCCACGTGGGTTGCTGAGAAATCCCCCTTTCTACCTCATTCAATTGGTTTCCCTTGAGAAAAGTGAACATGCTACATTGAATTTTGAAATCATTCCCCTTGTTTTTTTACAAACCCAACTGAATTAAACATATGACCAAAGCATCAAAAACTTCTTCTGAGCATCACATTGAGACAGTCCATCTCTTCAAAGAACAAAACTAGAACTCAAACCCTACAGTTGATTTCAATTTTCTTCTTTTTTGTGTTGAAAAAATAGCACAACTCAAGCTCTGATAACCTTGTAATTTGAAGGTATATATTTTATTTTCTGATGTATTATGAAGGTTTCATCTCTTGGTTGTCATTCATTTGACATTTATTTTGACATTTGATTTATGATCTGGGTTTATGGTTTATGAAATTTTATGGGTTTAGGAATCTGTTGCAGTATAGAACTTTTATTCTGGGGTTTTTTGGGTTTTACTGAAGTTTCTTAGAACTTTTGTTTGGCTATCGAGTTAAGGCACTAGGCCTCCATCTTCAAGTTTGTTTTCACAAGAATCCGAAGTGTCTTGGTTGCTTAAACTAACATTTTTGTCAATCTGGAATTTCCCTTTCTTTCCATTTCTCACAGCTTAACACACACACACACACATAAATATGTATGTATATTCTCAGTATCTCTTTGAGTACATGCAATGTTTTTGTGTTTACATATCTTCGTGGAAATGAGTTTCTCACGGTAACAAAAAGTCAACTTAATATGTTCACAAGAATCTTTATTTTTATTTCTTTTCAATGAAGGCCAATCAAGTGAGTTTAGTGTGTGATTGCTGCATATTGATTTATACATCATTTGAAACTCTTGTAAATATTCAGGCTTTTTCTGCCTGAGAATAAATATAAGTCCATTATTGTTTTGCAGTAATATAATAATAAGATGAATTGTGCAGGGAAGTTATTTGATGTAGTTTTTCCTCTTGTTTCCAGGACGGACAAGATTGAATTTATGCAAGTCAAGATAACCCACAGTTTTGGGATTCAACTCCGGGGTTTTTGTAGACTGTTTATGCCTGCAATGGCTTTGATTAAGTAGTACAAATACTGTTTTTGATTGATAAAGATATCACCTGATCTACTTCAGACTTCATACAAATTTGTTACCTTTTGCTTTGTAACCCTGTCATTATGTCGAACTTTGTATGTGGAAAAAGGAAGAAATAATTGCATTTGGGGGAAGCTTTCTTACTTCTGCAACTTCCTAGGAAGAAGTTTGTGAGTAAGCAAAAGGAAATTTTGTCAGAAATATCTTTGACGCGCAAAGTCGCTTGCTATCTTGTTTATGTGCCATTTGATTTCAATTATTTCTCTATGATATAGTGATAATATTTCAGTAAAAGTGGTTCTGCTGGGCAATGCTGAACAAACATGTAGTTATTTGTTGTGCTGCATTGTTCTACTTTTATAAGAAAACATGGATGCTTATGTAAATATCAAGGATTTCAGAAAATCGAAATGCCACTAAAACGCTGTTTCTATCACAAGTCCAGAATCAATGTACTTCGGTTTTTTCTTGTCTGTCGCCCATATGGCCTCTAACACGACCTGGTCAACCATGACCATTTCATATTCTGCTATGCTATTATTCACCATCCATGGCCGTAGCATCATCGACAACGAAGAATATAATAAGGTTAGAAACTGGGAATGTCATCTTGGTTGATGACCAAAATGTCTTTTGATTGTCCAACTTGAAAGATGAACAAAATGTCTTTTTTGATTATCCAACAGATACTCAGGTCATAGTCCTATATTATTTAGTGCTAATATCTAGAAAATGCTTCTATATATGCATGGCAATTTCACCATGTTATGCACCAAGTTCAAAGATTGCCTTTAATTCTGTTCTTGTGATTAATTCCAAGTTCTACAACCATGGTTTTCGCACACTCAAGTTCCTGTCATGTTAAACTATTCTGCAGTAGTCTCTACATAAAATGATCTTTATAACTTATTCTATATGACTCTACCTTTTCATAAATTCCCTTTGTGTTGTGAACTTTTTGTTACAGGGGGAGAGAGCAGTGAGCAACTTGGCTAGGTTTGTATAATGCCAGTTTAACATCAAGTGAACTCTTTTGTTTATGAGATCTTGAAACAAGTAAGAATTCAGGAGGACAAACTCAGGGCTCCTAATTCCATGCAAGACTTGAACCAACTTTTTCAGACGGGAATGAAAATCATGGTATTTCTGCTGCTTTTGGTGAAACTCAATTATGAAACTTTTTCTAGCCACTTCTTGCTCAAATTATACCATGGTTGAGCCAACAGCTTAATTATAGGGCAACTTCGTTTTTATTTTTTGTCGTTTCTTATGAAAGAAAATAAATAACTTGGGTTTTGAAGAAAAAAAAAATTTAATACTTTTTTTTTGGGGGGGTTTTCTTGAGCAAAAACTAAACTTTCTTTAGTTCAGAAGGAAAAAACAAGCTGTGCCCGAAGAAGTCGAATAGAAACGCATGGTATTTTTTCTTTAAAGAAAATAATAACTCAAGCAAGCATCCAGATATCAATAATAACTCTAATTTTGCCTCAATAAAATACTGTATTCCCTCATTTACAATGAAAAACTAAATTATACATCTATACAGTTTACGAAAAGAACCGTAAAGAAAATTATGGTGTTAGTACAACAATTAGCTAGTAGGTAGTACCAGATAGGCAAAAGGTGGAAAAAGGTGACCACAAAGGCTACAAGTGGCACACTGTATTACACAAAAGATCTTATCTGCAGATCATGCGGTTGAGCGGTTGAATATTTCCGTTGATCAGCTTCAAGGATATGCTCAGTGATCGTCCTTTGTATGACAGCGTCTGGCATGATGCCACTAATTAACATACGGCCATACAAAATGAGGGCTTCTGCCATTCTTCCTACCTTGCAGTAACCACGAATCAGAATCCCATATGCTATTACATCAGGCACCAAACCCCTTTCTATAGCACAATGAAACGCAAGGGATGCTTTCTCCGTTAGTCCTCTCTTGCAAAGACCATCCATGAGGATGCTATAACTGACTATATTGGGAGAGATGTTTTTAAGCATCTCTTCGTGCAGTTCAAATGCACTTTTCATGTTTTCAGATTTAAAATAACCATCAATAAGACAACTATATGTGACCAAATTGGGTTCGGGATCCTTTTCCAGCATTTTATCAAACATCAACATGGCATCATCCATGTTACCTTCTTTGCAAAAAGCATCAATCAGTATAGTACAAGTAATGGCATTGGGTTTACAGTGTCCCTGTATCAGCTTTTGAAAAAGTTGAACAGCTGCATCTAACCTTCTCAGAGAGCAATAACCACAAATCATTGTGTTGTACGTAACAATGTCAGGTTCTGGCCCACTTTCAGTAAGTTGCTCAAAGAGTTCTTGTGCAGCTTCTAAATAACTTTCTTTGAAAAGCATATTAATGAGAACATTATAAATGGCAATATCAGGACTTACTCCATTTCTTCGCATCATATCTAGAATCCGGAGTCCATAATATACACGTTTCTGCTTGCAGCAACCATCGATTAGTGTGCAATACGTTACAACATCAGGCAAGAACCCCTTCTTTAATGATTGGAAGAAAAATACTAACGCATCTTTTAATCTCCCTACTTCAGAGATACCCTTAATAATCACAGTATACGTCACCATATCAGGTTTTATGTTATAAACTCCCATTTGGATGAACACCTTCACAGCATCACTTAGTCTTTTTAATCTACAGAAACCATCTATTAACATATTAAAAGTACAGATATTGGGCTTTACACCCCTATAAACAGCCTGAAAGAAGAACCTAAGAGCATCACCCATCAGCCCATGTTTGCAAAGGCCATTTACTAGCACACCATAAAGAATAATATCAGGTTCATAGCCAGTCTTGATCATACTCTCATACAGGTGAAATGCATCCTTTAAATTCCCCAATTTGCACATTCCATCAATCAAACTACTGTAAGTTAGAATGGATGGCACAAAACCACACTTCACAATCTGACCGAATATGCCACAAGCCTCCATGACCTTACCATCCTGACACATACCATTTATAAGAATGGTGTAACTAACAGGGTTTGGCGAGATCCCTTCTTTCAGCATTCTTCTGTAGACCTCCACCGACTTCACCAAGTCTCCAATTCTCACATAGGAATCCATAACAGAACTGAAAATGACTACATCCAACTTAATGCCGCTATCTAATGCCTCTGAAAAAAGTCGAAGCCCCTCCTCCAATTTCCCTGCCTTAAAAAGACCATCAACTAGAATACTATATACAACCAAGTCAGGGCTGACACCCTTCTCTATCATAACCTTATAAAGCTTAATGGCCTCCTCCAATTTCCCATCCTTACAATACGCATTAATCATCGTGCTGAATGTCACCACATTTGGCTCCGGACCACCTATCAATACATTAAAGAAATCTTCCCCAACTCCAATCTGACTTTCTTTACAAAGACGCTTTAAAATCTTGTTACAAGCAACAATATCAACCACAAAGCCTCTTTCAATCACTGCGGAATGAAAATCCAAACCCGTTTCAACTTTACTCTTGTTTAGAAGAGCAACCATAACAAACTCATACACACAGAAATACTGTCCTCTCAATGCTTTACACACTTCTCCATATAAATCAATAATCACATGGACACGATTTGAATCAACCAAAAAAGTCAACATTCTGGATAACACATAAGGAGACACCGGAACTCCCAATTTACACATATGAATGAATGTCTCAATAGACGAATCTAGCATCCCATTCCGACAAAAGTTCTCAATCAGAAAGCTATAAAGATCACTAGAATCCGAAGCATAATTGGGAGAAATCTCAGAAAAAGCAGCAAAAAAGTGAAAATGAGTCCCAAATTGGCGTACCATTGTATCGAAAAGGTGTGAAGCCGGAGCGAGCTTTCGGTGACGGAGCAGCAGATGAATAAGGGCACAAAAGGACTGCGGGTAGTGGTGTAAGCCGAGAGAGTTGCGGGACCAATCAAGGAAGCGAAGGGTGGAAATGGGGTTGGATTGGAGGCTGAGAGGGATGTGGTGGACATGGTTGGGCTGTAATTTGGAAACAAAATGGGAGTTCAAGAGTTTGGGTTTAAATTGGAGACGTGTGTTTGAGATGTGGTGAATAAGAGCTTTGCAAGAGAATGGAGAATAAGGCGAATAGAAATGAAGAGAGCGGCATTTGAAGAATAATACGTTTGAGAATGAAGAGGAAGAGGAAGATATCATGCTTTTTCAGGCTTCGACATGCTTTATTTGCTCATGAGCCAACTACTCTTCTTCACTAGTACATATTAACAAACCCAATACCAAAACAAAGCATGAATCAGCACACCACAAAAGTGACAAATTAAATCAAACAGGGTCATATTAACAAACTATCTAAAATCTAGAACCCTAAAACAAAGCACAACAAATAGGGGTTCTTGTGACTTCTCTAAATGAAATGAAACTGCAGAGACTATTCATGGGTATCTTCAATAGAAAGAAGACTTGAATGCAATAGAAACAAAATTGAACAGTGCACCAAAAAGAAAAACGAAAAAGAGTTCAAAAGAAATATTTGTGGTGTTGCAGTTTTATGCTTCTAGCATTGATACATCCTTATTATGGTGTTGAGAGGAATATTTGTAGTGCTCTTGTATAACTAAAAAAGAGTATATGAAACTTTAATCTTTCATGACTGATCAAAACAAATATTTTGCTTATAATCACAGAAGAAACAATTACCAAAACAAAGCACTTAGCACACCACAAAAGTGAAAACTTAAATCAAACAGGGGTCTTTAGCAAACAAACAAAAACAAACAGGGTCATGTTAACAAACTACCTAAAAGCCAGAACCCTAAATGAGACCACAGAAAATGGGGGTTCTAGTGAATTCTGTAAATCAAATGAAATTACAGATGACCATTCATGGGTATCTTCTATAGAAAGAGGACTAAATGCAATAAAAACCAAATTGAACAGTGCACCAAATAGAGAAAAGAAACAGAGCTATAAAAAAAACCCCCCAAAAATGAGAATCATAGCAGTTTTATTCTTCTAGCGTTGATACATCCTGATCTATGGTGTTGGTTCATTATGAGAGGAATATAACGATCCTTTAGTGCAACCAGAAAAGAACATATCAAAAGAATATTCTTTCATTACAACTTGTCAATGGAAAGATTTCAACTTCTCTTTTGTTAGAAACGATCAGTAATTAGTTTTAATTTTTATTCTCTCATACTTTCATACCAAAAACCCTAAAATAAAAACTAAACAGAGTTTTACCATATGAAAATAATTGAAGAGGCTATAAGATTGAAACCAAAACAAAAATGGAAGGCTTATGACAAATTGAATAACAGGAGACAGAGATATATTACCTGTAATTGGGCAAACCCTAACCGCTCACCCCCAACCCTGCATTTACTAAAATAAAAGCATAAATTAAACTCCAGAAAGTACAAATTTCACAAATGGTAGCAAATAGCCACACCTGTAAACTGTGAGTGAAGAACCCACCCACTCAAGTCCGATAGTGAACTTTCAGCAATATTTGCCAGTGCCACCCACTCAACTCTTCAAGCTTCAGATATTTCTGTTCTCCTCCTCCTTCCTCGAAACGGCGTCGGTTTCGTAAAAATTGTGCACCTATTTTTTTTGGGAAAAATGAAAAGGTTTAACGGTATAGCCGACTCCAAAATAGAATATTTTAAACGTATAGCCGCCGGCTATATAACAAAATAGAAACTTTAAAGGTCTAGCCGCACGGCTATACGTTTAATATATTCTATTGTTGGATATCGCCGAACGGCTATAATCGATGAATATAATATCTGAACAGTGTAGCCGCGCGGCTATACCCAAAAGCCGCACGACGGTACACAAATAGAATAAATAAAGGTCTAGGCTCCATATTACAGTATAGCCGATCGGCTATACTCATAAAAATTAGAATAGTATAGCCGTGCGGCTATACTATATAAGTAAAATATTTAACAAGTATAGCCGATCGGCTATACACCAAAATATAAAATTTTGACAGTATAGCCGTTCGGCAGTACTCCAAAGTAGAATATTTTAACCATATAGCCGTGCGGCTGTACTCCAAAATAGAATATTTTAAAATTATAGCCAATCGGCTATACTCGATGATTTAAATTTTTTATCAAAGCTAAAAAGAAATATAATTCATGAAGTTAATTAAAATATAATTACAAACTATCATCTTATGATCAACTAGACAGATAAATTATCCAAACCCAAAGAAGCATATTTGAATCGGAGTCTCCAGTAACGTGCTGAGGTGGCTTTACCACCAATGTCAATTGGCATCTTAGGACCAAATATGGAACTACACATAGCATGTGTTACAATTGATGGCCTTCGATCACCACCAGCAGTAGCTGTAACCCCTTCACCTCTATGATCAATATATACATGAGTTTTCTGGAATCTAACAGGTATTTGCAACCAAGCCATCATTCAGCCAATTTTTCATCATCATGAAAGCCTGCTCTGCATCTTCGTCTTCTTCAAATGATTGAGGTCGGTGGGCAAAGCCATGACCTCTACCCTTGAAAACTACCACCCTGGACCCCCTGCCAATGCTTCTCTCAATACTCTCTAGGACGTTGACAGGACAGAGTGGGTCGTTGTCCCCGGAAATAAACAAGATCGGAACCTTAACATTAGATGCCACAGACGTATCGATCCTTGTTCCATAAAAGGAGACCCCAGTGCCAAAAGAAGCGCCCTGGTCCTGGGCTAGGACTTCAATCACTTTGCCACCTCCAAAGCAGAATCCTATCAAGCCAAACTTCTTTGAGATTCCTGCAGCCAAAAATTCATCAACCATCCATTTTGCAGATGTGGCAATGTCTTTTGCAATCCTCTGAGGTTCTTGTTCCGAGATCCACTTATCAAAAAGATTCTTTGGTCGATCCTTTGTCCATGGATCTCCACGAAATAGGTCTGGAAGCAAAACACTGCATTTTTTTCCAAGGACAAAGTAAGCATATAGAATTGAGAAATCTTGAAGAATGATTGCCCTAAAGGACTACTAATGGCAACTCTAACAAGAACACCAGCATTGCCATCCGAGTTAAAAGCAGTGCATAAATTGTAAACTGGTCAGTACATAATGAAATTTGAACAACATGCGTGCCCTTGCAGCATCACACAAACTTACATATAAATACTCCTTAATTTTAGTTCAAGGTTAAGCAACATACTTGTAACCATTGCACGCAACACGATAGGCAAACTCTCTTGTGGATGAATCTTCAAATCCAAAGATATCGGACAAGAGAAGTATCCCAGTTCCATTATTATTTTTCACTGCCTTGAAGAGATAAGCATTGATGTTATCAACACCCTCACCAACTGAAAGTTCCACTCCACTGACTAACTCACATGACTCGTCATTTGCGTCGTCTTCCACTTTTAGTAGGCTACAAGTAATTTTTCTGCCTATATTCTCTGTAGATGACCTCTGACAACTTGAATTGCATGCTCTCTGAACACAAACTGAGCTTTACAGTCAAGGTAGTACTTCATTATAGAACACAGCAAATAAAATGTTCAAAGTTAACGAATAAGAACAGTTCAACGTTCATCACAAGTTATCAATATGATCAATTCAATGATTAAATATTTAAATAGATTTACAAGATATGAATGATGCTAAAACAGAGCTATCATCTTCTAATGTAGTGTGATTTCTCTATGTACAGCAAAGGATTGGCACAAAAATGAAGAGGGAATTGAAAGGGTGTTGACAGTGCTCGAAGTAAAAGTTAACAGGTAAAAAATGATAGAAGAGTTGGTAAAACATTTCAAATTAAACATTGAGCTTCTTTATCTAAGAATCATTAAAATAATAAAAGGCTTTGTTATCTGTTAATAGAATAATAAAGAGAAGGCAAGGAAGAGGAAACACTTCAATAAAGGAGATGCAGAAGTGAAGATGCACATACAAAAACTGCATATATATGGATCATGTTCCACACATGTGTTTCAACTTTTCTCAGTAAAACGAAGAAATTTACACAAACGATGTCAGATGCAACTTCCGTGGATGCCAAAATGGGTTTCGCAAGAGAGCCAGCACCTTATAATGAAGCTTAAATAAATCAATGAAATCTGAAGCATTATCTACCTATGCATACTGTGCTAAGCAAGCTCATAAACCGAGCCAGTCACGAGTTTATATTCTGTTTCAACTTGACCAAACCCATGAATCTGTCTCCTTTGAGTTTAGGCCTACTGCCTCAGATCAAATTAAAGATTGCTAAATTGGCAATGTCAAGTTTACTAAATGCTAGAAACTTTGACACAACTAATGGCACTTAAGCCTATTTAGATTCTTTGTCAGTCTAGTTTCTGCTTGAACATAAATAAATAACTACACCATTTCCTTTCTTCAACATAATAAGCATTTCAGAATTGAACCCGGAACCACAAATCATAAAGGGGGTCTATCTGATGCCAAATTAAGCAAAGAAGCCTAAGCCATTAAGCTTAACAAATAAAAGAAAAAGAAAAGAAAAGAATAAAGGCATATATAAAACCGAAAAGATGGAGAAAAAATAACGTACTGATCCTGAAGAGGTGTGCAGAAGAGGAGAAGCAAAAGTTGAGAGGAAACCAAGTTGGTGATGGCGAGGGGTTGGCTTTCGAAGCAAGAGGTGACGAGGCGTGGTGCTCATGGAAGCGGAAGAGAGTGGGTTTCCCGCTCCACTTCCAGTTGAGTATAATCCCATCTTTCTGCTTCTAGACAAACGCGCTCTCCTCCTCCTTAACCACTTTGTTGCTAGATATCATATCTTTCTTTCTTTCTTCAAACCAACGCCCGCCTCAAATTTTTTTTCCTTTTTTCTTTTGGTTTTAAATTTCTTCTAGTAAGCATTTATATACATTTTTTCGAGCAAGTGTCATGGCCGTTTATTCTGTTACCTTGTCCCCTTTGTCCCATATCTAATATTTTGACATGTGTCCTTATATTAATACCGTTAACTTAATAAAATCCATCCACTCATTCTGCCACTTTTATTTATTTATTTATTTATAAACAATTATTATGTGCGTGACAGTAATAGTATACATCAATTAATGGAGTTATTAACAACACATCTATATATATAAAGCAAAAGGCAGAGAATGGTGAAACACTCAAAATACCAGAAAATACCCTTGATTAATTCAAACATTAAGAATTGAATTTATTAATTAAATAAAAATAATATGGTAAATTTACATTTTGTTCATATTAAAAAAATCAGATAATAAACCCTACTTTTATGGAACATAACTACCCTTGCTATCTTTTCTTAATTTTAAAAATAAAACAAAAAGAAAAACGAAAACTAATTGTCACATGCGTGAGCATGTGCTAAGGGGCTAGTAAAGAACTAAGAAATATCCAAATGACCTGTTTGCCTTACATAATTATGTCCAAGGATGTTAGCCTTACGCACAATCACATCTAAGGCCTTGATGGATATATAACCCCTCAACCCCCTCAGCTCCGATTTATTCAGCTATCCTCCTAATCAAATGATACAACATAATCTCAGCCAAGTAAGTTGGCTGCCCAAACCAACGGAGCTTCGTGATTTCGGGCCTCTATTGTGAGATGCCGGAAGGCCGAATACAAAATCCCACAACTTACTGCATCTCTACTGATTGTATAGCCAGCTTGGCTGCAACCCTGGAGATATTATCTTTAACAAATTCTAGGGAATTGTCTAGCCTCTGGAAGGAGTCTCTGAGATCCATTGCCCTTAACTTCTCTTGCTGCAGCTTCAGAAGTTCCGATTCGGTTGATCCTGATAGATAATAAAAAAAGAAAAATTCATATCAACACTTGCGAAGGAAATGTATATCAGGTATGATGCTTCATAGGTTCAACTTCTATATCAAATAGTCATGAGTGGTAACCTACTAAAAGCCTTCCTACTTTTCATTGTACATGAAATAGTTGTTAAAGTGGTAGCGTACTCAACTAGTCATCAGGACGAGGATATAAAAGTCGTCAAAGAGGACTAGCAAGGCGTAGAATGAATTTTCGACATACAGTACAACGAAAACTCTACAGTTATAATGGTGTTAATGATCAGTCTGAAAAACAAACAAATAGGCGTTGGCCATTTAAACTTATGATGCTTTGCAATTAAAGGTGTTTATATTTTTATTTTTAAAGTAATGCTTAAAATTAAACTTTTTATCTTAGCTATTACGAGTAAAACATATGTGAAAATATGAGGGGGAGCAAAGGGGGCTCAAATTGCAAATGAAATGCTAGGAATGGTAAAAGCCATGGGAGCCCCTCTGGACCTTCTGCAGTGTCAAAAGAGAACATTTATCGCATAGTTCTACGTACTATGGTGCCTTCTCCAACATGTTTTCTGGTGGACTGTGCAAGTCATTGAACAGGAACCACTGCAATCGTAGTTGAAGAATTGCAAATGGTTTTCTGCCCAGACAAGCCAGAAAATAGCAAAGCGCATTCCTAAAAGGTTTGTCTTCCAAGAAAAAGCGAGAAGCTTAGACAGAGTATTGGCAAAGTAGATGTAATAAGGACATCCCTTGTAAGAACTTTGGCCTAATGTGCATGAGGGAGATCTTCAAGGCCTCAGGCATGTCACAAGTTTAAGAGGGGAACTTGTTCGTTGGGTCATAAACACATTACTATGTCCTTGAAAATAACAAAGTTTGGCACTCACACATAAAATCGAAACCTTGAAAAATTCTGTTCTCAAATTTTATGACAAGGTCATAATAATTAATAAACATCCAGATATTTAAGCAAGTAATTTTTCCATTAGGGCCTAAATTGCACAAAAACATGCAGTCCTGGTTCTCGCAAATATACAGAAAGAAAACTTACAGCTACACCAGTCATGGAAAATTAACTGAGACTTCATGTGTTATCAATTAATATAAAGAATGAAAAACTATTTTGCTTACTACAGCGTCAAAGAAGAGAAATTTAGGTCAAGAAACATATCAACCTGAAATGGGTTGGAGTTATTAACTCAGGCAGTACAATTGAGGAACTAAAACTGCATATTCTGTAACAACTAACAAGAAATAGAGATGCAGAAGGGACATTTACCTGAGACCGGTTGAAGTGATGCGAAGGATACACGCTCAGCCAATGAAGGAAAGAAAGCTTCATTACAATCTAAGGGTAGTTCCTTTTCAGTCCACATTAGAGAATTGGCAATTCTAGTTTGCAACTGTGCCTCCTTTGGGGCCTAGTAGGACAGATAAACGAGCAGAAAAGAGTCAACAATTGCATGGGTATACAGTCCCAATCCAATAAACACTTATGTTGAGAAAACACATCTCAATCGTCCATGGACCATATCTAATCTAATGGCTGTAAAATGTATTTTTAGGTTGGAACCTTATTAGACAGGCTAAATATATGAGAACATAAAAGTAAAAAGAAAAAGAAAAAAGAGCAATTCAACAAGCCCTGAACATAGATAACAGGGTTTGCTGAGAGAGAGAGAGAGAGAGAGAGAGAGAGAGAGAGAGAGAGAGAGAGCAACACACCTTGAGTTTGATTTCCAAACTATTTAAACTATAAAGAGCCTCTTTTACTTGCATAACTTTTGGGTGTAATTTGCTGACACTGTCAGGAGCCCTGTCCTGTACAGGTATGACAACACCTTTCAAGTAAGGATCAGCCTGCATGTCAAACCAACATTTTAGGAGGCATAAGAGTTAAAGCTACTTCTAAAAACAGTTTGTTCATGCCCAAAAGTAGTCCTTTAAACTCAATTATCATTCCCAAGACAAAGGACTAACTTCACATACGCAACTTCGTTCAGTTTCAATGTCACATCAAAAGCTCCTAATATCCTCCTCCAGGAAGCAAACTAAAGATCACACATAAAAGAGTAATGCACGTGAAGTTGAAGAACCTAATGTACATATACATTGATCACAGAAGTAACATGTGTTTTTGTAGAGTATGGACTCATAGAGCCCTTGCTATATGTTGAAATTTAAAAGCAATGGCAGCAGCAGTTTGAATTATCTTGGAAAGCAGCTGGGAATCACTTATCAAGCCTGCATTCTGTCTATTTATACAAACCAAAATAACTTTTTAGCCTATTTGTGTGAATGCGAATGTATGCATTTCTATATTTATGCGAATGTGAAGAATTATCTTCTAATTAGGTCCTTAAACTAAGACTTGAACTTTCAACCGTAAGATGAGATATGAATGGTTCACATGCATTGTGTCCTTGAGATGCGTCTTATCCATCCCTATGTCCACTAACGAATGAGAAACAGGTCCTCATTTAAAGATCTTCTCAGAGAATAAATAACTACACATATCTATCTTTATCAGAATATGATAAGTTGAAGACCAAATCTCTTGTTACCTGCACAAATTTCACAATCTTTACACGACCAATTCCTCTAATAGAGACTAATGCTCCAACTTCTAAACGCTCAACCTGCAGAATACTGGAATGATTTTAGTACATAAGGTCCTTCACATATTCGGAAATTCAGTCAAAGTTGGGAAGCTTACATTTTCTATAAAAACCAAACAACCATTTCTGGCTGCAAAGGATGCTTCTTCTGTTGAATTTTCAATAATGATAGGATCCAACACAAAATGCACAAAAAGCTTGTTCTTCCTCATCAATGACTGCAACGAATAGATAAAAAAAACTCAACACTCTAATTTATTCCGTCATCTGAGCAGAGAAAATGGTGCAAGACAAATGATGTTCAAAAATCTTTATATAAAAAAAGAGTAAGAATAATGCAGTTAATATAAACTATACAGTACCTCCTCCAGTAGACCCAGATACCTTGCTTCATATAAGTGCAGTGTTTTACTCTCAGAGGGAACAAGAACCTGAAATTTCAAAAGAAAGAGGATGAAACTTGAAACACACATACCCTCAATTAGAAGAAATTGTGTCAAAAATAAAAACAACAAAAACATCTGTTTCCTCCTGTATTATAAAATTGATCATTTAACCAACCCACCATACAAAAATTATCATCTTATTTGTGAACAAACAGCAAAAACAAAAGACATGGTCCCAATGCATCAATTTTTTGCTATCCTTGACATATGTTTGTTACTAAGAAAATATCTAATGTCGAAAACAGAAAATAAAAATCTTGGAACCCTTTTTAATTAAATTAATCTGATTTTTTAAGCTCAAAAAACAGAAACAACTGGTTTCGTAATGAGAGTGAGTCAGCTAGAAAACTACAGAGAGCTCGAGACAAAACAGAGCTTAATTAATTAAGTCTAAAAATACTTGAGCAAAATCAACCTCGTTCAAGCTAAAGGGAAGGAGCGGGAGCTCCAACTCCAAGGAGGTGGCCATTGCAACCATGCGGCATCGTTTCAGTCTTTTCCTGGTAAATCCGAAATCATGGGTCCGGGTCCTTGCTATAAGGCGGGAATTTTTCTCTGGGAAAAAGGGACTACTGGGCGTGAGATTGAAGGCCGTACAATTCATGGAAATTTTCTTCTTCTTCGGTTCCACTTCCAACCAACCACGGTCTGACGGGTTATCTTAATTCTGAGTCTCTGACCGCACGATGGGGAGCAGAAAACCTCCACTAAACGGGTACCGGGGTACGTCATGTGACGGTACATGAAGATATCAGTACCGCGAGATGGGAAAATTAAAGGGCCAGCGTACACGAAAAAATGACAAAGAAACAAACTTCTCGTGCCTAATTAACTTGAGTGAGATAACGGACGCCCTGTTTACGAAGTCTGCATTGAAAAATTCATAACTATATACCTGCCCTTTGGCTCACGCACGGCTAATTGGTTTTATTTTTTATTTTTTACTTTATTTTTAAAATTAAGAAAAAATAATATAAGTAGGTAGGACTTATTATTTGATTTTGTTTTAAATTTTATTTTTTTAATATGAAAATGTGAATTTACTATATTATTCTCATTTAATTAATAATTTCAATTCTTAATGTTTGAATTAATCAATGACATTTTTCGGTATTTTATATAATGCATAATTAAGAATTTTTTAACGGGAGAGTGATATGATAGCCGTTAACATGAATATTGACGACAAACTAAGAAAATATTGGGAGAAAATAGTAAAAGGTAGATTGTTAAAGTCATGAGTGTTTATTAAGGGTCAAATCGAGTGGATAATGGGATACTAGGCTACATTTGGGTGGACTACTAAGCTTTTATGGAGTGCATCATATTAGAATACATACAATATATATATATATATATATATATTAAAGGCACATGGGCGATTTCCGCTAGTGTGTGTGTATATATATATATAAAGAACTTTAATTGAGGAATTTTTCAAATAAGCTTATTTAAGGGACATTTTTGTAGGGCCCACCACATATTGTATTGCAATGATATGAACCGTCTAGTTTTTAGATTTATAATTTGTCAAATTTTATCTTTGCAAGGATAATGTATGAATGAAGACACAGTTTAGATCGTTGAAAAAAAAATTTGTATAGGACCCTATAAGCACCATAAAATAGTAAAAATGATACCAAAACCATTTGAAACCCAAATGTGAGAGGCATAGACAATAGTGTAATCTTTAAAAAAGATTCGGGACCTAAACCAAACATAGAGGAAACAAAAGAAGAAAAGAAAAGAAAAAGAAAAGAAAAAGAAAAGAGGAATCACCAAAACAACATTGCCAACAACCAAAATAATCGAGTGAAGTTATATTCGTTTGATATGTAATTTATAACTTGAAGCGAACCAAACTAAATCGCGGTCACCCCTACCAATGTAATTTGTGATGTAGTGGATCATTACTGTCAAGGGTGGTCCTATGCCTAGGGCAAGGTAGGTTGTTGCCTACCCCAAAATTTTAAAAAAGAAAAAATATCCATATGTAACAGCCTAACCCATTTGAAACATACCTATGCCCACCCAAAAAGCAACCCACATGCATGCATAACTCAAAATTTCTCTCCTCTTTAATTATCTTCTCTTTAATTATCTCCTCTTTAATTATCTTCTCCTATTGGAAACATATATGCATCTTCAAATTTAAGATGTTGTAATCTATTCTAGAGTTTAATTAAGAATGAATTATAATTTGGGGATTTTCAGAGTAAGGCTTATTACGTCCTCTAATTATGTGTTTTTAAAAATAAAAAAAAATTAATGAAATTCACTTGTACCATCGAGTTTTTAATGTAAGTTTGGCCGAGCCGAGTTTCAAATCGTAGATCCGCCACTACTATCACTGTTAGTACTAATCAGTTGACGGTTCGTTGGTTATGTTTGTACGTACTAACCTTAGGGGGTATCATTTCATACTTTGTGGAGAATCAAATACTTTCGTATAATTAAAAAGTTTGAGGGTATCCAATTCCGATTTTAATAAACTCTTGTGGTATTCAATAGTGACTTTTAAAAGGTCTTTAAAAGTTTGGTTGTATCCAAAAAATTAATGACTTTTAAAGAGTTTGGTAAGTAAATAACTTTTTTATACTTTTAAAGTTAATTGTTAATAACAAAAGTCTTGCTAATTTTCTATCAATAGTAGTGTGATATGTGTGCATAAATTATTATTATTTTTCTGTTTCTGATGAATTATTTTTGTATATGTGTCAAACTGTGACTTGCATAAAAAAGTAGTATCCATTTCTTAACGACTTTTCAACTCTTTAACAAAACGTCGTCTCTCTCCTCTCCAGTCTGCATCAACTTTTAACTCCTTAATTCAGTCTGCATCATCGTTGTTGCCAAAGGCCCAAAAGAAAAATTAACATAATTCTTAGAAGCAATTGGTGACCAAAAGAAAGGAAGGAGATCTGAAATCATTTCCCCCACAGAGAAAGACCAACTACCTGAACTTTTTTCCCTCCGAAGTGTTTCTCATCAAATCGATCATGCGGGTCTTTCATATTATACTCTATCCCGAAATGAATTAGTACTTGAACTTCATGTTTTTGGAGGTAGATTCTTTTGTAGGAACAGATTTTCTGTTATTCAATCATCATTAGCCATTCAAAACCATAGTTGCAATTAGTGTATCTCTGGTATTCCTCAGCCTACAAAACGCAAACTTTAGTAGCTATGCAATGAGTATTCCTCATAAACTCAAAACCCACTTACGATGAATATGAGTATGGGTATTATCATGACTTAGGGATTGAGCTCTGATATTCAGATAATCATTGGTATTCCTTCACTTTTTTGGGCTCTGATATTCAGATTTTCCGGCAGTTTCTTTCAAATAAGGAGCAGAGTTTGGATTGAGGGAGTGATGAGGAAGAGAGAGAAGAGAATGGAGTTGCCGTGTGGTGTGGGAGTAGGAAATCAAAAAGTTTTATAATCATGAAATAAATTATAAAACGTAGTTAAAACTCGACGATAAGAGTTCAGAAAAGTTTGTCACTTATCTTTATAAACTCTATAAAAGAAGTAGCGGGCTTTAATACCCAAGAGAGCGAGAAAGAGGGAGAGAGATCGGAATGGACGATCCTCCAGGCAGCGATATGTGCTCGGTCTGCCATGGCAACTTCGACACTCCTTGTCAAGCCAATTGTTCTCACTGGTTTTGCGGTACCCTTCTCTCTTTCCTTTTCAATCCCATTTCCTCGTTTTCAGTGCGTTTGGTTTGGCTGTAATGTTACATCCAATTCGTCTTTGCTTTTTTGCAACTGGTTGCTGCCAGGCCATCTCTATCTGCATAAGTTTTCAAACTTTTCGTTTAATCTTTACCTAATGTTTGCTTTACTTACCGTAATCTTCTCCTATGAGTTCAAAATAGTGTTGGGTTTTCAATGGATCCCTAGTTTTGACTGTTAATATGTCTTTCTCTTGTATTTCAATCAACCAATTTTGTGCCTATAAAATAACCCAACGATTTTTGTGTGCATATCTATGTGGGTCGCAAGAAATTTCTCCATTGAAGTGTGTTTTCTTGCATTTTGTGCATTTTTATTTTGTTTCAATAGTTTGTATTGCTTGGGGATCCAAATTTGTCTCGAGGTAGTTCATGCTTTCGATATGACCGATTTGAGCATGCTTGTGTTGATAGACTTGATTTTGTTAGAAAAGTTTGGTAGCGGCTTTAGATGTCATTGTGCAGTTTTAGAGCGACTTATAAGGCGACTTGGGTGATTATCTCCACCAGGCAGAGGATGTTTTGCCTTGGAAACAAATCCAAATTAAGTTAGCTAGCTGTATGCTGTAAGTTAGCGGCTTGATATCTAGAGAAGTCAAATTAGAGTGCCAGTATGAATCTATAATTATCCTTTACGGAGTTTGGTAGAGACAAAAAACAAGTTAGACAAGAATAAAATCTGAAGAGTCGCAACCTAAAGATGTGAAAAACCACGTACATGAAAAAAGAAAACTATTCCCAGTGTCTATTTCATGCCAAGGAGAATGGATATGATATTCTTAATCAGTGTTATTCAAAGTTTTGCTATAAATCCCTGGATACCCGTCGTGCCCTGTATCTGACATCTGCTTTAGCCAGTTTCCATAGGAGGGCAGGGGTGCCTTATCATCGCTCTTGTTCATTTGAATAATCTCCTTACAGAGAGGGAAAAAATTGATTACCTCTTTTTTACTGTTTTGACGCTTCTGGATAAAGTGCCTTATATGTAATGATTGAGCTTGTTTCAAGAAGGGCTCCTGTAAATTCTACTCAATGGCTGTTTGGTGCTGAGGTTGCCTCATTAAGGGCGTTGGTGATATTTTTCCAATTGCATATTTTCAAATATTGTGATCATGTTTTTCTTATAAAAAATACTATTATGATCATGTTTTGAACTTGATAATACAGCACCTTAACAAATTTATGCATTCATATACATGGGACTTGATGAAACATCTTACTAGATCTGCAAGTGAAACTCAGCATCAGAGCTTCATCTGTTATATCATTAGATTCTGTTATGTATGTTAGAAAGAGTTCTTGTAATTAAAATGTTTTTTAATAAATAAATGCAACCGATCAAAAATAAAAAAATCAAATAATGAATTCAGTCTTGAGGAGCTAAAGGCAAAGTCTCTTTTGAGATTTTTAGGCCATATGCACCAACTACGAATATGAGGCAAAATGATTTTAAAAGCTGAAGATCTATGAGCATAGTGGATCAACAAATAGATAGTAATAGAGGATAAAAGAGAACTAAGTTTAAAAAGTGTTTGCATGTGTGACTCCCCGTAACTAAAATTCAAAGCTGTTTTTAGCTGGGTTTATAGAGTATCTCCACCTTAGGCTTTACAGACATTTTGATGTTTGACGAGTTCACTGCTAAATATATGAAAATGATTTATGCTTGGAATTATTTTTGTTTGTTATGGAGAATAGAGATTTTGGATCCACAAAGTTGTGACTAAGTCTCCAACATGTTACTTGAGTTGTCTGTACTTTTTGTACGACTAGTGTTATACACCTAAACTGATTGGGTGCGATGCCTTCTATACATTGCATTCTGTGCAAGCTATTAAGTATTAACTATAACATTGTGAGTGTTTGATGATAAGATTATAGATTAGCACGACAGTTACTACTTTATAAGAATCTGCAAGTATCGGACTCCATTACAAATGATCTACAAAGATTGAACTCATAAATGAGTACTTTCTTTAAAAAAACCAAAAAAGTAACTGACACTCATTGGCTCCCTTTGTTCAGGAAATTGTATTATGCTTGTTTGGCATCATGGATCAGCACTTCAGCCTTGTAAATGCCCACTATGCCGTCGTTATATCACTTTGTTGGTTCCAAGTGAGGCTTCATTAAGGCAGGCTGACAGACCAGAGGTGGCTGAGATTCTAGGCAGAGTTGAAAGGTACAATCGTTATTTTGGAGATCATCCCAGAAGTCTTATTCAGGTAAGTGGATATATGTAATAGATATAAATAGTATATATTTATTATATATAACATACTCTTGTTGTTAAATATGATTTAGTTGAAAAATATTCATAGTTTCTGTACACCTTAAAATGTACGGAGAAAATATTCTTTTTCTCCAAAAGAATTAAAAAATTTAAGACTCCTGGAAAAGTAAAGTATATAAAGTTTTTGTTCACTAAAACATGTTGGCATCCATGAATGCAACTCTTTCTTTTAAGTAACTGAATTGTTGCCTCAGATGCTAGTCCCGCTCTCTCACATCCTTCAAAAAGTATCTTTAGTTCACACCTTAAAGTTATTCGTCATAAACTCCAATCTCTTCGCGTGAGAAATCTTTTAACACTTTAGCAATCTTAATTTTGTAACTGCACCTCTTGTTGACCCACGTGATTCCAAAAGCCATATCTAGTTATGATTCCTGGAGATGTGAACTTTCCCATTATGTTTCTCAGGATATATTTGATTGTATTTAATGTGAGCATAAAAAAAGGTAATCTGATACTTGATGTTCAACATTTCCCTTTAGTTTTGTCTGATCTAAATAATAAATATTCAAATGAGAACATTAGGTATGAAGATAGGTACGATCTTTGATTGAAAATATTAGAGCATTAGGTCCTTTCTGTATAACGTTGCCAAGTGTATTCATGCTTTTAACATCATAAATGTCAAATGATTTTGAATGAATTACTCTCTCTCTGTCTCTCTCAGGTATATTCTATCATTTAACATCATATATGTCAATTATCTTTTCTACAGAGAGGGCAGGACCTTCCTTTTTTCCTGCGGAGGCTGCTGCGAGAACTAATTGATCCTAATAGATCTCTTCCTCCTCGTAGGATGGCTCAGATCTGTTTTGCAGTTAAGTAATTGACACAAGTATGCGATCAATTATCTTATATCCTGCAGTCAGTTTGTTGGCAATACAACCACAAGGGTGCTTACCTACATTATCGTTTTGTTTTGTTTACCTGGAGTAGGTAGTCCGTTGATTTGTGACACAAGGGTTCTTTTCAACAATCTTATAAATGAGTTGCATATCTTTTGAATTTTGTCATCCACAAACCACACAACATACATGCTTACCTGATCCATTCGAGCTGATGTAGGAGTTTATTGAATTTTGTATGAACATTGCAAGTATTTTATATCAGTGTACGACCTTCAACAAGATAGCGTAGGGCTCTTGAAAACATGATGAAATAGCATCATACCAATTTATAATATTTGTTTGATATTGAATTTGCCTTTTCATAGCCGTTTTGTTACTTGCATCAAGTGATCTGTCATTTATTAATGACAAGTGCCCAGGCAACTGAGAAACATAGAAGAGGAAATAGAGTCGCTATAGTTAGGAGTTATGCATGCTGTCCTTTTGTTGTCGTTGAATAATTATTTGGAGCTCATAGCTCAGATCTATCCCAAGGTTTTAAATGAAAAAGGACTTACATGTCAAAAATGCGTTTGCATGCTATACTGCCAAACTTTGGTTCATCCATTTTTTATCGGCCCTATTGCTTCAAATGTAATTCTAGCATATGCTACTATAGCAGCATTGGCAAATTTTTTCTTCTTCTAGTTTTTTACTTCATACCGTGCAGCTGTAAATGCAGTGATGTAGTTGGACCTGGAAAAAAAATTTACATGAGAAATCATCTGCATTGCGTCATTTTTTAATAGGTCTCTTTTCTACTGATAGTTATGCATTATCAGGTGTTATCTTTTCCACTTTAAATGAATGTATAAGGTTGTGGTGGTCAATTCTGAAGCATATGATATACTTTATGTTCATTATGAAGTTCTCACCTTCTGGCAATTTGTGTTTTTTTGAATTTACAGATGATATTGTTAGCAATCTACCTAGTCAGTCCTGTTGACCTTATTCCGGAAGGTGGCTTTTGTGCTTTAACTTTCATTTGGTTGAATTTTTCTTGTTGAGTTGTTCTAGTAAGTAGCACACTATTAATACATCATCCTGGTTTTGTGTGGTCCTGCAGCAATCTTTGGTTTACTTGGTTATGTGGATGATTTCTTCGTGGCGCTCGTCATCTTGTTTAATCTTGCTGCCATTTCTCGGTCGATACTCTATCACCGTCATGGAGGTTCCTGAACTGTGCAGTCACGGCTTACGGCAATTTTAAATTTAAAACATGGAATGGAGGAACTAGTTTTGAGTTCGTAATAGCAAGCTGGGAATTTTTCTTTGTTGTATGGGGGTCAAATAATTGGACTTGATTCACCTCGTTGGAATATAGGATTTTAGAAGTGAGCCATCTATATGTTGCAATGTAGTTTCAGTTGAATTTTTATACATTTTCATGCTCAATTACGGTGAATTACAAATGAAATTAGAAAATGTAGAACCTTGTGTTGTCATATGCACTGGCATTGTAGGGGCCACTTTGTGTCAATAGACCAAATAGTTATTAGCAGAGCTTTTTTTTCCCCTATTCTGGATGACTTTGCTGTGTTTTTATTTGGGGTTAAATTCCTAAATGTCTCTTATCAATTCATCAATTTGGTCTCTTATCAATTCACCAATTTGGTCCCTTATCAATTCAGCCAATTTTGTCTCTATGTTTAATCCAATAGCCAATTCGGTCTACTGTATTTTTTGTTCTGTAAGAAACTTGCACTTATCATTGGACATAGGAACATACAACGAGCAAGTAAATACAATGCAATAAAGCAGAAGGGAGAAAACATGTGAGAATCCTCTTTCGACTGCGAGTTGGCATCCCTCCAAGGCCGCCATAGCCTCCACCTCAATTGCAGAACCCGCAGCCATAGAAGACGATCTTGTCCCGAGAAACATCCCTCATGCGTACCTGACGATAACCTCAGCACCTGCCGTACAATTGTGTTGGTTCCACGTTGCATCAATATTAATCTTGAGGTTTGGGGCACCAGGGGGCATCCAGTGGTCGAGAACCTGCTGGTTTCTGTCAGCCTGACTCGGAGTTCACTCACCATTTCTAAGCATTGTCAGATCACCAATCATTTGTTGAGATTAATTTTGAAAATTTCATTACTAGTTTTATTTTCTAGAAAAGTCTGCTACGTTGGTTTGGCATTTAATTCTTGTTCTAGGGAGTTGTATGTCCTGTTCAAATATGAGCTTTTGCTCAACATGATTAGCCCTTGACAGTTTCTCTTGCAATAACGCTACCTGTTGGAGTTTTTGGACTCATTATATACAAGAGTATCTTTACTTGAAATTGATGTGACTTCAAAAATCATTAGACTGATAAACTTTTGGGAGACTTTGGAAAAACACAAAGGAGAGAGAAATTTTTTAAAAGAAGCCAAAATGGACAAAATTGCCCTTATTTATTTTTGGATTTCCTAAGGAATCCTTTACATTTGCATGTCTTTGATTTGAAAGTTGAGAGGTTTTTTTGTCTTTTTTGAAAAAACTTTGGCTTTTTCCAAAAGTGAAATTTTTTTTTGGCTAAAACCTAAATTTACTTAAACTTTTACTTTGGCCTAAAGACCCTAAAGACAGTTAACAGAGAGAGGTTAAGAAGAAAAACATAAGCTTTCTAGTTTGAGAGTTTGCAAAGAAGGGTGCCCTAGCAATCTTGAAATTTTGTGGCCTACTTCCATTAGTTTATACTTTATACTTAATAATTTGCTAGTTTCAACATATTCAAAGTAGATATTGAAAATAGAGAAATTTCATAGTAAATCAATATGAGAGTTAAATTTTTTCTTCTTCTTTATTTTTTGTGGGAATGTTTGCCTTTGATCTACCTCATTATCTTGAGTGCTACTAAATTATGTTACTGCGCACATTATTTATCGTAAAGAATTGCATGCTGAGTTTGAGTGGTCTTGGTAATTGCTTCACTTTTCAAAACAACACTTTACATGAAGAGTACTACCACCTCTCTTACTACTATACCCATAAAACTTTGTTTCAAATTGTTGTTCTAGTTGGCAAAGAGATTGCAAAATCAACATCTTGCATTTTTCTTACAACAAGTAAGAAATAATCTTAGCCTCTCAAGTTCTTTCATTATTAGTAAAATGCGAAATGGGAAAAATACGAATAGAACACGTATGACTTTTATTCGGCAAAATTTTGGCAAGTTACAATTGAAAAGTTCGGCCACTACATAATATTTTTATTCAATAATATGTAAAAATTATGTGCAAAATAAGTGAATTTTGTGTGAATTATTGAAAATTTTGTAAAGAATACGTGTTTTAAACATGAAAAAATATGTACGTACGTACAATATGTGTACTGTATATTTTCTTTTTAAAAATGTGTATTTTAACGAGTCTTTAAGACGTGTATAAAAAATGAAAGTATTATTAAAAAATACATACGCAAGTGTATAATACGAGTATTAAATGAGAAAAATGCTAAATTCTTTATATGAGTAATAACTCTGGAAAAGTAAAAAATTAAAAGGAAACAACATAGATTTGAGTAATGGCTTACTAGTAATGAATAATGATATAAACTACTTTTATGGATAAATGAAAATCATGGAAAAAAATTTATTTAAAAAAAAAGAAAAAATATCTCAGTGTATACTTAAAGAATAGTTGCGGTTGTACTATTTATTAATATATAAAAAAAAGACCTTAGTTTATTTTGGAGATATTTAGTGATATACTCATTCTTAGCACTAATATTATAGATAAACCCTACACCATTGGATTTCTATAAACAAACCCAAAAAATGACAGTTGACCTTATTAAATTTAATATTGACTATTAAATTACTTTAATGCCATATTGAGTGTTTTAGGTATTTTTATGAGATTTTGGGGTTAGGCTTGTTTTAAGAAATTCATGGTAGTTTTGTAATTTTTAAGAAGTTAAAGCCTTTTTGTTATATCGTAAATAGACTTTGAGTGTGTTTATAAAATCTATTTCATATGTGGTATTTTTATAATTTGAGCTATAATATTAGGTATAATAGTGAATCTCCCATTATTTTATTACGAGTTTTGCCGCTTAAAGAAAGAATATTCAGTAATCTAAATCCCACCTGTTCCGCTGCGGCTATACTCGTATAAAGTAAAATTTTCAGGTGGGATTAGAATATTTTTCAATTCAGGCTTTCGCGGTGTGTCATCTGGGAAATTTGGCACTCCCGAACTTTGCAGGCAGCTCATCAAGCTGTTGGGGGTACACTGATAAGAGAGAGTCCAACGACCGAAAAATGGAAATGGAAATTGAAGAAGAAGAAGAGCAAGTCCCGATGGAGCCTCCCAAAATTCACCGCCTAGACGATTCTGTAGTGAACCGAATCGCCGCCGGCGAGGTTATCCAACGCCCTGTCTCCGCCGTCAAAGAGCTCGTTGAGAACAGTCTCGACGCCTGCTCCTCCTCCATAAACGTCGTCGTCAAGGACGGCGGCCTCAAGCTCATCCAAGTCTCCGATGACGGCCACGGCATCCGCGTTAGTCTTCTCACTGCTTCTTCTCTTTCTCACATTTTCTGCTTGATTCTCGGGAATCTTTTTCTTTTCATTTTTTTTTCATAAATATTTCAGAGTTTCTCCTGCTTCATTACGAATTAACAATTTTCTTTTACTCTAGTATGAGGACTTGCCCATACTCTGTGAGCGGCACACGACGTCGAAATTGTCGACGTTTGAGGATTTGCAATCGATAAAGTCGATGGGGTTTAGAGGAGAAGCACTTGCGAGCATGACTTATGTAGCCCATGTTACTGTGACAACGATTACCAAGGGCCAGTTGCATGGTTATAGGTATGTGCATTACCTGTTTGATGAAATGACTGGCTAGTAATTTGTTAGGTTGCTGACAAAGTATTTGTTCACAGGTAGAAATGGAAATGGCATAGCCTTTTGAGTTTTCCATATGATGATTGAATTTTTAAAGTTATAATTTCGTGGGTTCAGGGTATCTTATAAAGATGGAGTCATGGAGCACGAACCAAAGGCGTGCGCTGCTGTAAAAGGAACTCAGATAATGGTGTGGAAAACATTTGGGCTGGGTTTTCTGTAGTCTCTCATTATTAGAAATCAGAGCAGTTTATAAGTTCAGACTGTGAAACTCATACACCAATTGCCTTAAACGAAAGAAAAACAAGTGGTCATTTTGCTGGTCATTCAATGTTTGGCCAATGTTATTTAATGGGATAAAATTACTTTTTATATTTTGGTGCAATGGGATGAAATTAGCTTTACTTGTGAATTAAGTGGTCGTGTGTTGTCAGGTTGAAAATTTATTCTATAACATGACTGCTCGGAGGAAGACACTGCAAAATTCTGCTGATGATTATTCAAAGATTGTAGATGTGTTAAGCCGGTTTGCCATTCATCATATGAATGTTAGCTTCTCCTGCAGAAAAGTAGGTTTCCGTTTCACCAACTAATGAAAGTTTTCTTTCTTACTTCATTTATCGTTTGCATGGCTAGAACTTACTCCAAAATCACGATTAAAGCTTTTTGAGCTGCTATTATTATCAGCATGGAGCTGCTAGAGCAGATGTTAATTCTGTTGCCACAATATCAAGGATTGATGCAATTCGTTCAGTTTATGGGGTGTCAGTTGCTCGCTGTCTGATGAAGGTAGAAGCTTTGGATAAAGATCCTTCTAGCTCAGTTTTCCAGATGGAGGGGTTTATCTCCAATTCCAATTATGTAGCGAAGAAGATAACCATGGTGCTTTTTATAAACGGTATGAACTATTCGTGCAGTGCCATATCAAGACAAGAAACTTCCAATGTCAAAATTATCAAATTTACAAACTTAAACCAGAAAGGTTTTTGTAGAATTACATTGTATTAAGTTGGGTCAGATTGGGTAAACCAACTCATTAAACCAAATTCAAACACATGGTTTCCAATGCTAATGTTGCAAACTGGAAGTGAGCTGAGCTCTAAGACTCAAACCAACATTCATCCCTACTATTTCCTTATTCAGCAAATTGTTTTCTGGGACTTCTCTCTAGATGATAACCTATTATATTTCTCTTTCTAAATTTGAGCCCAAGTGGCAAAGAGTTTATTGAATGTCCTTGAGGGATTATTTATTATTATTAGTTTTTGTAATTTCCCTATTTCTTTTAGCTGTGGAGGAAGGGGTTTAGTTGGTTGGGCGGCAGTGTCTCAGGTCATAAGAC